TCGTACGTTAGTTCGTTNTCCCTCCCCCCCCNCCCCCCCGGGATTGATTCGGCTCAACAAGGGACTGGGAAATCTGGAGGATAGGTATGAAATTCCCTGGGGTGGTCGGGGTATGTATCTCGCGGATCGGCATACCGACCAACCAACATCGTCGCATCGCGCAGAAATTCATCCATGTTTTCCTCTGTCCACTATGTCGAACGAAACATCCACTTTGCCTCGTGCTACCAAGTAGACTAGACTTGTCAATCCTCCTCCCTCTTTTCTTGCTTGTAATAAAGGGTCCATCCATGGTGAGGATTAAGCGTAGAAAATCTTGAGAGGGTTTGTGGGTACCAGCGAGGGGGGCAGTCCAACCACTGAGCGCGAGTGCGTGCCTGGCACTAATGTAGTGTAGTGTAGTGTACCGAGCGATGAGCAAAACTACCTAGCTAGCATTCAAGCGGCGGAAGATCGACCGAACAGTGGAAAGGGAAGGGAAGCTTGTTGTCGCGTGGACAAGGCGGGTCGCTTGGGATTACCTTTTACAGTACATACTGCATATTTTGCGCCTGGCCTGGCGAGAATTACCTAGGTACCTGTGTTGTATGGTTTTCCTCGCTGACTGAAATTGAACAATTGCAATTTCTTGGTCACGTTAAGTGTAGTTGTTCAGAAACTCCGGAACTCCGGAAAGGTGAGTATGTAGCACGCACGTGAGTCGTGTAGAAGAAGATTATGAAAGCTTGGATGATGGATAACTGCAACTCCTTTTGTCCTTTTCTTATGGTACCAAAGTTTCGGTTCGGTATTTGCATCTTGCATCACGGTGACGAGTTATACTCGCTACCATGTTTTGGGGAGACCAAAAGCCGGTGTTGGTACCTTGGCTTTGCTTTCTCTGGTAACGGCAACGGTAATGGCACGGACGAACACCGAATTCCAATTGGAGGCGCGGAAGCGAAAGCTTGGAGCCGAGCAAAAAAACTTCCGAGTTTCCGTTCGGTTGGACTCGTTGGCGGCGGTCATTGAGCTTCTTTAGTCGTGGCTTCTGATACGCTGAAAGTCCGAGAAAATGGTACATGACGCGGTACTTGTGGGATATCGCAACCGTGAACCGAACACAACCGAGAATACCTACCTACCTACCTCTTCCCTATGTATGTAGCCGCGCATTAGCCTGTTTGTGACTTGAGCAGAGTTTTCCCTTATATTACCCCAGGTACTCGGGCTAATCGTCGCTTGTTGTTGTCGGCTAATGTCTAGGGCTTACCGACCCCGTAAAAGCGCTATTTGGAGGTGGGAAGAAAAATTCGGTAACGAGATGAGAGAAGGGTTTCATAGTATTTGCAAGAGAGGCTGATAACGGGACCTAGTGTAGAGTTTTGGGTATAGCAAAATAGAGAAACAAAACTAGAGGTAGTAAGAATTTGAAGCAATTTCGAAGACCCTTCACTGTAGTATCCCTTGTTCGTCTTTTGCTTCCGTCCGTTGAAAAGCCCACAAACTTCCTGGCAGCCGTTCAATTACTGATGAGACACTCTATCCGTAGAGGTAGGCGAGTGTGACATGTATGATACATGTGCAGTACGTAGTGTATGTACTGCAGCTCAGTTCCTTGCTGCGGCCTGCTCAGTGATGGGAGGAAACGTACTAGCAAAACAGCGCACCAATTTCAAGAAGGGATGGATGTTAGTGCCATGAATTCGCCTAAAAATGGTCGCCGTACACCCCTCTTGGCAGAAAAACCATTACGTACTAGGGACGGGAATGTACAATTTACCCAGGTATACCCATTGGGCATGTAAGCGTTTCATTCGGCCACCTGCCATATTGCATTAATTGCCGGTGAAGCCTATGAAGGATACAGTAAAGTGCACGCGGAAGCACGAGGGGTTCGCCCCGGTTATAACAGCGTTGCGTTTGGGACGTCAAGTCGGCGACCAAATGAAGGATACCCAGGCCAGACCTTTCCCGGGGACCTGGTTTGCCGACGAAAGTGTTTCCTCTTCTGGTACATGCATGGAAGTGGAACGTCACACAAGGCCAAGTTGCGTGGGAGGTGGTGTGGGAGAGAGAGAGAGAGAGAGAGAGTGGGTGGCTGCAACGGGATGGCACAACGGTCGGACGGGAGGTGACCGGGGTTTCAAGTTGCCAAAAAGCAAAGAAACTGAAGGGTCGTCTTTCAAATCAACGTCGCAGTGGTTTTGGAAGCCCTCGATACATAGTTGGGAAGTCACCTGTATAACGCGGACGTTATGCCAATTGTTCCTCAATGACAGTCTCATAGGGGGGAGGCTTTGACGGTACCACATGCCTAACACGGAGACAGTCCTCAGCTACGTAGCAAATGCCTGATGATATGGAAATTGCTACAAGATAGCTCGAGATAATGTGCAATCACGACTGCCAATGGATCTAGGTATAGTGCTCTGTGCTATAGCGTCGCAGTGTCGTACTTGTAATTATGGAGGAATGAGGGCCTGGTTCATGGAGGCTTCAGTTAGGGCTCACAATCCCCAAAACCACGAGTTGGGATGTCATGCCATGGTGGAGGATCCATCACGACGTTTGCGGGAAGGAAAAAAGGTGAAGGAACGTGGCTCACCCTAGTTGCGGATACTTGGCGTCAAAGGTTTTTAGCGTCCTGTCATTGAACAGACGATCTTATGGGCGTGTGAAAGTCCGCTGTTATGATTCGGTACAGATTGACGACGGGGAACGAGGATGATCATTGTAGCACAGACCAAGATGGGAATTGATGGACGACGGCAGTTGAATGGAAAATGAACGGCGAAACCAAACTGCTGGTAAAACAGAAGAAGGGTCTGAGACCTCTTTTTGCGACCTCCAAGTGTTCTGTTGCATCCGACGCTGCGGTTGAGATTAAGGTCTGGATTGTCCGTTCGCCTGTGTTGCCCTTTTCGTGCACACACATCGGCACATGCCAGACGGCAGACAACAAACGGGATGGTCATTCAGGCACACCAATGATTTCTCAACTGTACCTTGCATCATTGTCCTGTTCCTGCTTCTGGTGGTCGTGGTGGTGGTTACGGAAAATAAAAATCTCCACCGAGGCCCGTCCCGGCGTTCGATGACATGTGATCATCAGCATCTTCGAAAACCGCCAAAAAGTAGAATGTGAAAATGCGCAGACACCAACGCAAGAAATGAAGAAGGGGAAAAAAAAAAGGTACGTACCGATGAAGAGGTCGCTAGTGTACAGCAATCTCCGTTCGCCAATCGCTTGAGGGGTTGAGCTAGCGGTATGTGGGGCAAGAGGGGCACCATCAAAAAGAGGAAAGGGCATCGCTGACCAATCTGGCACTCCCTGTCAGTCCTTGGCAGTCCTGACCGGCCAGTCAATTGTGCCTTTGGCAGCTGGATTGCTTCGCAGCTGCCCACGTGCTTGGCGGGAAAAACACCAAAGATGGTGAATCTCGGTCTCGTCCCACATTTTCGAGTCGTTTCGACATTCACGCTTCCCCCATTCATCCTGCCTGCGCCAACTAGACCATCCCACATTGGGAAACACAGTCCACCTTCTTTACAGAATCCACAACCATGCGGGTCGCGATAATGCGAGTCAGCATCCGCCATCTTCCCTCAGACAAACATGTTTGGTCGCCTTTTTTGCGGTGGACCAAGGCAAGCAGATGATCCCCCTGGCGATTACAGACATCATCGCCAAAACAAACTCGACATGAACTGTCAACAATCAACAGTCGGCCAGACCTTTGCGCTTTGACTGCCGGTAACCGAGTCCGACCCTACATCCGGCAGGTCCTGCAATGAGCCTCAGGGGAAAACGGTTTCTAGGTATCCAAAGACGGTAGGTGTCTTTCGTTGCGACGGTATGGTGGCTAAATCAACTGAAGAAGACGACCTCAATGAGAGCCTACGCTGATCGGCATACAAAACAGACTCCACCAATGTCCCACATTTTAAGTAACACCACTACGGCCCATTCCCCTGTTACTATGTATAATACCGCAGACATGGCTCCCTATACACTACAATCGCGTAGCTCTTTGGGGAATTCTCGACAAGGTCAAAGACAAGGTCCTCAAACCAACCCTGCCTCCTGCAGAACACCCCTGGGACAATGGGGCTCTAATCGGTAGAGTCTCCTCTCTGGGGGCGACCCCCCGTCCGTCCTTGAAAGGCTGCTTGGTTCTGGGGCAGAGTCGAGAACATCTTTAATCCTGTGGCTCCTCTGTCCCTAAGAGGTCCCACAGTCTCGCCTTCTTGCTCTTCTTTCAGGTTTAGGTGTGCTGTCTGTGTCTTCAACTCCGTCGTTCGTTATCTGATCCATACGCCAAAACGCCGTTCATATACTCCGCTCGAATATCAAAAATCCGGCCTGTGTCCGGGTTTCCGAATATCTTCATCCCGAGAACGACGTCGACGACTGTGTGGCCGAAACTACCAAAAACACCAAAGGGTTAGAGCATGTGTCAGTAGAGGGCCATCCTAATCATGGGATCCATCCGAACCACAGTTGCCATTCTTGGCCTGTGCCTATTCTTGTTCTTCACCAATGTCGCCTCTGCCGAACAAGTCATCGAGGCGCCACCAGTCAATCTCACGGAGGCCTTGGGGAGCTTGCCACATTGCGCTGTAAGAATACCGACACCAACGCCATGAGCACCAAGCACCAACATACCTAGTCACCCACTTCGACTATACTATATCTGGTCATCCAACCGTCGAAACCCAACTTCACCGAGCCCACATCGACATGCGTGGCGAGAATCACAAGCTGAACAGTGTCTTTTCCATATAGCTCAATTGCCTCGTCAACACCGTCACCACCGTAGGGACATGCGGCACTCTGTTAAACCCCAACCTGGCCGACTGTGTGTGTCACAGTCAGGAAATCAACGACCTTTCGGCCGCGTGTATCCATGGGGCTTGCACTATCAAGGAATCTCTTAGTGAGCACCTCCAATGAATCAACTGCTGGAGTGAAGCTAACCCTCCCTCGAAGCCGCCAAGAACATCACCTCCCACCTCTGCCACGAGCCCATCAGGAAGAACACCACCATCGTTCCCGTCCTTGCCGTGTTCCTCGGCCTTGCCCTATTCGCGGTCGTTCTGCGGGTGCTTGCCCGTGTGTTGACCAGGGCTTATTTCTGGTGGGATGATTTGTGCAACCTTTTCGCCTTTTGCGGTTGCATTGGTTTCAGCTCTCTCAACTTCAGATCGATCGACCATGGCTACGGACTTGATATTTGGTATGTCAAGTTTGACGACGTCACTACAATCTTGAGGGTAGGTCTAAGCTCGGCTCTTTTGGTGTACTTTTGCCTCGGATGTATCACTAACAGCGAGCGTTACAGTTATTCTACGCCAACATGTTGCTGTACACGGTCTCCCGCTTTTTTGTCCGGGCCTCCATCATTCTCTTCTACCTCCGCGTATTTCCCAAGGACAACAAGGTCAGCCGCATTCTTACCTACACCATGGCCTTCAACGTCGTCTACAACTTCAGCTTCTTGTGCGCCGTCATTTTTCAATGCACCCCCATCAATAATTTTTGGTTGTCTTGGTCGGGAGAGAGCCAAGGTCACTGTGGAAACGTGCAGGCACTTGTCTGGTCCGCTGCGGGTACGGGTATCGCCTTTGATATTTGGTTGCTTGTCTTGCCGTTCCCTCAGTTGTTTGCTCTCAATCTCCACTGGAAGAAGAAGGTTATGGGCTGTGTGATGTTCAGCGTTGGTGCTTCGTAAGTTACTACAGAACCGTCTGCTTTTTATTGTACAGGTTACTAACTTTGTTGTGCGCAGTGTCATGATCATCAGTTTGATCCGACTCAAGACCATTCCCCATTTCGCAAAGGCCGAGAACCCAACCAGTACGTTCCACCACAACTACACCCGGATTACCCAAGCACGTCGGATGAATCACTACTAACACATAAAATAACAGGGGACATTGCCGATCTTTGCATTTGGTCTGGCGTCGAAATCGATGTCGGTGTCATCACCCCCTGCCTTCCCAGCTTACGACTGCTGTTCCGCAAGCTGCTCCCCAGCATCCTCGGGACAACCAACAAGTACGAGCTCGAGCCCGTGTCAGCCAGCGCCAGCACCGCCATGAACAAGAGTCTTGCCAGCAAGAGCAAACCTACATTCCACGAGTCTACCAAGACGACAATGGACCACGGCCACGACGGGTCGTCGATAGGGACCAAGTGTACGCATGATGATGATCACTCGCAGTTGCATGGTGCAAGCTGTGAGAGCATTACCGAGCTGGTTACCGACTCGGATGGGGATTTCAAGAAGATGGGGTCCAAAGTATGACACTTGTCTACACGAAAGAAGTGCTGTCAAAGCGGGATTTGCTTGGGATTTTTTTCTTGGTTTCTTTTGTTCTTTTTCTTTTCTCTTCGTTTCTTTGAGTTCTGGATACAGTAATACCCGAACTGGAACAGCAGACCTGGTTGCACACAACAGTCACACACACACACACACACACACACACACACAAAAGTTCTTTGCGTTCCTCGTTTATGGAAAAGGCGGCAAGAAAAGCTGAAGCTGGAGCCAACGCACGTCTCATGACATAAATTTCGTGTACGTCTATTATATGGGTTGATGGATGGATGGATGGATAGATGGGCATTATGGAATTGACATTGGAGGAATACCAAGGGACGACTGAAAGAAGAAGGGATGGGAAGCGATGGGATGGACGAGAAATCCGAGGCTACCTAGGAGGCAAGGAAGGAAGATACATGCATGGATACCAGACCTGCTAGGAATGAAGTGGAACATTTATACGTCATTTTACTTGAATTGACGGACTATTACCATCAGTTCACGACAGATCAAATTGAAAGATTCATATATCTGTGGTATGGAATCGGTTTCTGGACTCAACTGTCTCTTCGGTAAAATATAAATAATTTTTTCAGCGGTCACATCGATGTCTGTATTGTCTGAGTTGGAGGATTCAGGTGTGTGCTGTATATGGTATTTAGTGGCAATTTTTCGGAGGAGCAATCCGCAATGTCCGCAAAGGTAGATAGGTAGGTATTAACAGCCTCATCTAACCTCCGGTCCAATCCGTTCCGAAAACCCAGAGGAAAATCAAGGACTTAAAGAGGCAGAGGTAGGTACCTAGGTAAGTCGCGTCTCCTTGACTAGAGGTATAGTAGTCCCTGACTCCTCCCCGTCCTGACCTCCAGTGAGGACAGTCAGCGATGGAATCCCGCCCCCTTCTTTACTACCTCTACTTAGGTAGTCTTCCCAGCTGAGTCAAAATGTCAAAATGTCAAAAAGTTAAAAAGTGGTCGGGTGTGTCCAGGTGTTTGCTCGACTGGGTTGATTTGTTACGGCAACTGGAAAATGGCGTGCGCCGAAGTGATTAGATCTAGGACCAGTGTTGACTTGACTTGTCAGTTATTGTTGTTGTTGTGGTTGAAGCCATCACCAGTTCTTGGCATTCTCTTTTGGCACAAGTGGATACGATTAACCAATGGCTTGTACCCTGTAGTGTACATATATAAGTCGGACTTTGTTTGTCCTCCTTGTCCCGAGTTCTCTCTCTCTCTGTCTCTCTCTCTCAAGCAATAATTAACACTTTAACTACTACTACGTCGTTCATCGTGATTACTTCCGCATGGTTGGTTCAACAGCTGTCACACTGTCACGGAATGGCCCGGGATTAAGGGAAAGGGACCGCGGCCTCTGAAGTCCGGATCCGGGTCCGGTGGAAAGTGGATTAATCGGACGGGCGCCAAGCAGGACGCCAAGCCCGAGGAGAGTGGTGGTATATGACGGATAGGTAGGTATTCTACACTTTCCTTCTTCCCTCGACGCCGTCCCGCTATCTGCTCCTTCCTTTTCTATCATCGGTGCGAGATTACCTCTATGAGTGGTTTTCCCGCTCGCAATTCTTTTCCATTTCTTTCTTTTTGCTCTTGTACCGACGTGCGTGCACTTCAATACTTTACTTGGTATACTAGTGAGTAGTGACAGCGAAGAAATCGGTTAGGATCGAGTCAGTGTCAACACTCTTCTTGGTTCCCTCTTCCACTTTGCCCAATCATCGACGCCTTCCACTTGATTATGGTCAGTTCGACTACAGATTTGCATCTTATGGGCATTGGATGGTGATAATGTTGTTGTTGTTGTTGTCGTCATTGACTCTATCCCAACATCGTTGCGGAATTCGTCCCAAATCATCATCATTGCCAACGGCCCCTCTCCCTGCACCCACCCGGAATCCGAACCCCCAAACTTCGGCATGCCAAAGCCCAGCAATTATGATCGCCATGAGGTCTAAAATCCGAGTCAAACACCGTGACGGCAGACAGAAGAAGCTACCGAAGCTAGCAAGACGATCAACAACCATCGACCTATAGTAGACTTGAGCAGCCCCAGACTTCCCCGCAAAGCCAAAATAGCAAGCGCTGTGAGTGGTCCAAGATGTGATGCCACCCCTCCGTCCGATCTCGTGAATGGCTTCCGGGACCCGCGGGTGCGGGGAAAGATGGTCTAGAAATGTCGGTGGGAGGGATGATATAACAACGATTGGATTCCCAGATGGTCGGGACCTTGAACTCCTTCTTGTCACTCTAAATAACCCAAGATAGATTCACTACCTTTCACAAAGCAAGCAACCACCAGACCACAATGACAGAAAACCAACAACCCCGTCCCTTCAACAAAGCAAGTCTACCACTCCCAACCCCCTTACATATCTACCTACCTACTTATCTTATCTAACAGACATCAAGATCTACATAATAGGCGCCGGCCCCTCCGGCCTTCTCCTTGCCCTGCTCCTCTCCCGCCACGGGCGTTCCCCTTCCTCCCCCTTCGGATCACCCGGCGGCGGCGGCGGTATCCCCGTAACCATCCTCGAAGCCTCCCACCAACTCGATTCCCGCCCGCGCGCCGCCCACTACGGCACAGCATGCATTCCCGACCTCATTCGCGCAGGCATCATTGACAAGATCCGTGATCGTGGATTTGTCCTGTCGACCATGACGTGGAGGAAGCCAAGGACTTTTGAAGAAGTGGGCGGGTTTGAGTCCAGTGGGTTGAGGGGTGTTTCGCTAGATGGGCTGGAGGGAGTTCCGGAGGGGGTGTGGGGGTTGGGTGGAGGAACTGCTAAAAAAGGGAAAGGAAAAGGAAAAGGAAAAGGAGAAGGAGAAGGAGAAGGAGAAGGAGAAAAAGGAGAAGATATGAGGACGCATTGTCTTGTCTTGCAAGATTTGTTGGAGGTGATGCTTGAGGAGTGTGTGGAACGGGGGGTGGAGGTGTGCTGGAGGCATAGGGTTGTGGGGGTTGGGCATACGGGACTTTCTTCAGGGAATAGGGATGGGGGAAAGGATGGGGAAGAAGGGAAGGGAGAGGCAAAAGGGGAGGAAAAGGGGGAGGAAAAGGGGGCTTGGGTTGAGGTTGAGGTTACGGGGGAGGATGGTGAAGTCAAGGAGAGGAAGAGGTTTGGTGGGGAGGGATGTATCGTGGTGGGCGCGGATGGAGCGAATAGTGCGGTTAGAAAGGGATTATTTGGGGATGAGTTTCCGGGGTTTACGTGGGATCGGACGATTATTGCTACGAATGTGAGTTTCAAACCCGTTGCTCAGAAAGAATAGATGGAAGGAGTGCAGACAGTTCGAGATGTAAATAAAGAAGGCCAACATAGCAATTACTAACATACGTGAACAGACATACTACGACTTTGACAAATTCGGCTGGTCCGACGCCAACTTCATCATCGACCCCGATAACTTTTTCGTGCGTCTTCCCCCATCACTCCCTCCATCTCCCTCTCATCACTAACCTCTTCCACCTCTGGAAATAAACACAGATGGCAGCCCGCATCTCCCCCTCCACCCCCTCCCACCCCGCCCTCTACCGCATCACCTACGCCGAAGTCCCCAACCTCACCCACGCCCAATACCTCTCCCGCCAACCCTTCAAATTCCAATCCATCCTCCCCGGCTCGCCCACCCCAGACCAATACCAACTCCTCACCCTCTCTCCGTACCGGATGCACCAACGCTGCGCGCCCTCCTTCCGCGTTGGCCGTGTGCTCCTAGTAGCAGACGCTGCCCACCTGTGCAACCCGTGGGGCGGCCTGGGTATAACAGGCGGGTTCGTCGATGTAGGCGGGCTGTATGATTGTCTGGCGGGGATCTGGGATGACAAGGCGGATGAGGAGGAGATGTTGGAGCTGTATAGTGAGAAGAGGATGGAGAAGTGGAAGACGATTATTGACCCGGTGAGTCAGGAGAACTTTAGGAGGGTGAGTGGGCAGCTTGCGTTGGAAAAGGATGAGTTTTTGGGGGCGTTGAGAGAGGTGAAGGGGGATGAAAAGGGGGTGAGGGACGTGTTGTTGGGGATGATGGCGGTTAGGTATGATTTTACGGGGCATTATAGGCGGTGAGGCACTGGAAGAAGAAAGGGGTGGAATGGATGGGGTTGAGTGTGGTTTAGGCTTTTGGTCGAGTGAAGCTCGGCAATTGGGAAGATTGGACAATGGGAAGAAACGGACCAAGAATGATGCTGAGAATTTCGGGAGATGGGATTTTGTCGGGGAATTGGTCGCGGCAGCTGAGTAGCAATACCGAAGACATTGAGAGGTCATTGCTCAGGAAGTGGATATTTTTATCGCACAATGCTTCATGACACTCACAGATTGCTCGACCAGACAATCTCCAACCTTGTCAGCTTCCCCCCTCTGAAATCCTCCCCCAACAAACTTTGCTTCAGTCCCGCTCCTTCTGTCGTCAAAAACTTACATCCGCGCAATGTAATCGAGTGTCTATTTAGAGTTCTGATCCCGGAGACATCTTTTTGAATTGCTACTAATTTTATGCCCACGAACAGAAGCTTCTTCTCCAATGCGATTTGTATCCAAGAAACCTTATATACATCCTTTTACACAACAAACAACAACCACACCACCCACCAAGTTTTCTTTCAGTTCAAGCACTCAACCCCTTCGCAACCCGTCTAACACCATACTTCCCCGCAGAAGCATACGTGCTACCCATCTCTCCCCACTTGATATTCGAAAATGTCACCCGCGCATCCGGCTTCTTCTGCAAAATCAGCTTCGGATCGCCCTCGGTCGCACTACACGGTCCACTGTCCCCGGCATCCAACCAATTCATGAAACCGCTCTCATCCGCCCAGATACTAAAGATCAGCACCATGCCCCTTCCCATCGCCTCGCCCATGGTCTTGAGTCCCCCGCGCTGCATCGTCCACGAAGAAGTCTTTTCGCAGAACTGCGTACTAACTGAATCCGTCGATTTCCCGTCTACGGTGATTGCCGCGTTCTTGATCAGTTTTCCATTCTGATACCACAATCGGCGGATCTCCACCAACACGCCGTCTTCGCGGCCATTGTCAGTCAGGAATTGTGTGGTGACGGTGAATTTCTGGGTGGTGTCGATGGTTTTGGCAGGAGGAGCAAGGCCGTAGAAATCGTGGACTCCCTTCTGGTATTCGTTGTAAGTGCATCCCCACTGGTCGCAGACGCCCTGGGACTGGCCGCACTCGGTGTCTCCCGTGCACTTGTAGACGCGCTCAATGGAGCAGGGGTGCGGGGTGAAGGACTTTGCGCGGGCGTTGGCTTCGAAGATGTCCATTTCGTTGCAGCACGCGCCGTGGGTTTTGTTGATGTTTGCCTGGAATGGAACCGCGTTAGCACTTACCCACGCAGGTAGAAGTAGAAGGAACGGAAGACAGGATTGGAGACAAACCTCGCCATTGATAAAATCCAACTTGGGACACTGCGCATCGCAATACCCCGTACCATACTCCGCTCCTGCAGCATTGAGTTCCCCCCGTCCACCATCCATCAACATCTCGCTCAAGTAAAACGCCCCGTTCATGCCACAAGGCAAGTTACTAACGTCCACATCGAAGGAAATCTCCTTCCCCAGCAACTTCACAGCTTCATAGTTCTTGCCGTCCTCAGCAACGAGATAAGTACGCGGCGAACTCGTCTTGTATTGTCCTGGGTTCGACGGGTCAGACACCCACTGGTTCAGCGTCAGGGCGTCTCCTTCGGTCTTGACTCCCAAAGAAGCATAGTCGACGCCTTCGAGAGCGCAGTTGGCTGCGCAGGTGGCGGCGTCGGGGCAGAGAGGACCGCCGACGGTGCAAGCGGTCGATGGGTCACCGATCTTGTGCAGAGGACGTTGAAAGGCGTCGAGGACGATGGAGGTTGAGACGGTTTGGCACCCGCCGGAGAGGGTGCAGCGCTTGGTGGGCAGTTTGGGGTGGGATTCGGGGGTGAGGGTGCCGATTTGTTGGGCGGAGACGAGGGAGGCGGTTAGGCCGGTCAAAAAGGCGAGCTTGTGAACCATCTTGGGCGTCTGTCTGAAGGCCTAGGTAATGACGCTTAGATGACACCGATGGAATGGATGCAGCCGGGTGGTGAAGTGTATAGATGCCATGGTGGATGACTGATGATATATATCACGACCGATGAATTGTGTGAAGTCTGTCGGGAGATACAGGGCCTTGGGAATGACGGGTTGAGAACACCGAATACAACCTCCAGACCGGCATTGCCGTCTCTCCTTGGATTTCGCCACGTTTGAGCGGAAGAAAGAACCGAAGTCGAGGTCTTGAACTTGTGTTGATCAGGGATCGGGGCATGATTCAAGGGAGATTTTGGCGGTGGATGGTGTCTTGAGACGGAGTGACACCCCGACATGCGGGTACATAAGGGGATTTCCAAGGTTTTGGAAGACGTTTATTACGAGAGAATCGTGCTTATATCCGGTGACGGTTGTAGCAAAATTCGGAAGTACGGGCCATTGTCCAGGACGTCACGACGGTGGGCTTAGTTCCGTTGCCGGCGAGCCTTGTTCCGTTGATGTTGGATGCCATTTTCGGTAACTCGGTCACTCGGAGCCGATGGTTCATCTTGGCGAGCTTGGATCTTGGTCCCTGCCATTTCCCCGCATGTTCCGGTCCAGACCCTGAGGCTGTCAAGTTTTTGAAGGTATGGAGAAGTCAGCAGTTTGAGGTTAATAGAGTTGTCTCAAATGAGTATCGTTATGCGGATCTGAATAGGTAAGCAAGAAGAGCTGGCCGCAAATCTGAATCAGGTAGCCGAATGATCACACCGAACCTCGAGAGAAGCGCTCCAATCGCCTAAGGGTCTGATATGCCTCTCGCGGTCCTTATTCCCTTGAAAAAGACAATTATCCCCGGTGCGCCCCATAGTCTTGAAGGATGGTCTTGTGTCCGAGGTGGCTTTTTTATTGCAGTTAAGGTAGTAATAGGATAGGTGGTTATTAGTACCGAAATTTGTTAGCGGTTCCTAGGCGCGAAGTCGCAATTTCCAGGCGCTGTGAATCGTTACTATAAGAGGCTATTAAACAAGAAGATAAAATATAATTAAAGTCCTTTATTAGGATATTAGAGACTTTTACTCTTATTAGAAAGGCTGGGAATTAATAGCTATAGTTAAATATTATTATTTAAATTGTAAAAATACGAAATTAAAATTATAGCTAAAGCTAAGTAATTAGGCCTTATTAAACTACTATATTTATTAATATTATATTATAGTTTAATAGTAATTTCTTAAGAAAAGTATTATTATTAGGGTTTATTACTAATTTTATATATATTTTTTAATAACTTCTAATATATATATAACTATTAATATATATCGCTAAATCGTCCCTTATTTCTCAACTTTCTTCGTTTTCCTTTTCGCTTCTTCAATACTTATTTCTATTTGTAAATCGGCATTAGCCATTAACGAATCCCGTCCATCACCAGCTCTCCAAAAGCGATTTTACCTTTCCTTAGACTATTTTACCGATCGATTCCCCGCACCTCGCGAATATTATTTAGCTCCGGCATTTGGACGATTGAACGCTTTGAGGCCATAATTAACAACTTTCCGGATCTCGCAAATCTGAAATCGTTACCTGTCGCGTTCTCCGTCTCAAACGTGACCACTATATATTTCTTCCCTTCAACTTGACTTTGGGCCTCCACCCCCCAAGTTGGCCAAATGAATATAGGTCGGTGACGGTAGTCACTTGTTCTGTCAACTTACTGAGAACAACTTCATATAATCATCGTCCGCCTATGTTCAATATTCATTTAACGCCATGACCAGCTTCCTCTTTTCTCACCCAAGAACCTTGGATGGTACCGAGAATGGACGTGGTCAAGTCACCGTCACAGTGACAGCCTTGAGTCTCCCTGATTGGACACCCCAATCCCCAGATTCATGGACAACCAGCGTGGGATAATCCTTAGCATTGGTCATTAACGTTCCCAATTTGTTCAAATTCAGGACAATGCATGGTTTACACCCTCTTCGGCTGTTGGTGATACTCGGTCGGCATTGGCCGCCATACCCTCCAGGTGTCCTTCATTCTCGGTACAGAAATCGCGACGTTTATTCCTGTTCAATCGTCTACCATATATTCTAGGTGTCACTTTGCCTCAACAGCGGACCTACTTTGTCTTCCTTTTAGGTCCAGCGCTTGAAGTTCACCCGCGCCTTCCCACCTGTCTCATCCACTCCAATTCACCAGCTCATATCCTCCCATCACCACGCCCCCTCTCAAGTCCGAATAGGAATACACCCCATCAACTTCACTTTCACCCTCCTTCCCTTCCCCTTTGCCCCCTCAGCATTATACAACCCCTCCAAAGCCTTAACCTCCCTCAACGCATCCCTCACCCCCTCACTAACCTTGACCTCCTCCCCTCCTCCCCTCCCCCACACATCCCTTTTCCCACCCCCATTGTTTTCCTCCCCCAAAACCTCCCACATACTTCCTCCCTTTAAATCCCCCTTATTTCCCATCCCCATCCCCATTCCCGTCCTCATCCCAGTCCCTATTCCCTCAACATCCCCCTCCCTCACCTCAACAAACAACGCCTCACTCCCCTGTCCTTCCCCTCCCATAAACGTATCACACTCAGGACTCACCCAAAACCATTCGCTTCTTGGACGAATCTCCGGATGGAGGATATAGATCGTGTCTAAACTGGGTAAGTTATCTGGATACAAGAATGCCAAGTCGGCGGGTAATGGACCGGGGCCGTTGGGAGGGGAGGCGGAGTCCCAGAGGAAGGCGACGCGTTTGAGGCCTTGGAGAACAGGTAAGGCGGAGGAGAGGGTGAAGGGGTGGGAGCCTGATAGGTTGGTTAGGGCGGGGGAGGTGGTGATTAGGATGTTGGAGGGGGATGGTTGAGTGGGAGAGGAGGAAAGGTGGTAAGGGGCAAAGGTGATGTACTGCGAGCGTTTGGAGGGGGGTGGGCGGAGGAGGCAGATGACGTCTGTGGAGACGTCGATGGTGGGTTTGGGTTCTGGATTTTGCGAGTTGGGTTTGATATCGCTGGTATCCTTCTTATCATTCTCCGTTGATGGTAGTGGATACAGCTCGGTAAACAACTTCCTCCTCGTTAACTTCTTCTTAATCATGTCTTTCATTGCTAGTAGGGCGTGGTCGCGCATCTGTTTTTTTTGGTTTGCTCCTTAGTTTTTATTTTTTTTCCACTTTTCCTCTGTCCTCCAGTTCTTTACCCCATTTCCCCCCCTTTTCCCTACTTTCCTTCTTTACCCTTTTCTCCTCTCTTTCCCCGTCTTTTCACCCCCATTTTCCCCCTTTCCCTCATTTCTTCCCCACATCCCACCATTAACATCACCCATACCCATCTCTCTGACTGACGGGATAGAATTCAAGTACTCACCACCTGATTCCCAAAACTCACCCCCGGAACAACCGGCCTCAACGTCGTCACCGAACTTCTATACTCCTCAAACCACTTGAGGAACTCCTTCCCCTTCTCCTGCTGCTCCCATGGCGTGTTGGGATCTTCTCGCTCACATTCATCCATGCATTGTCCGAGATCTTGTAAGATGTGCGAATCGTGGATGATGGCGTCTTGGACGAGGGAGAGCTCGAGAAAATGGAATGTGTTTCGGGGATTCTTGGTCTTTGGAGCTGGAAAGCCTTTGGGTTTGGTGGCTTGCGCGGGAGCTGGAGCTGGAGCTCTAGTGGGAGGGGGCGGAGCTCGAACTGGGGATGGAGCCCTAGATGGAGCCCTAGATGGACCGCGAGAAGGCGCTCGAGAAGGCTGCGCTGTCCTTGCCGGTGCCGGAGTCCGATTTCCACTGCTTGTACTTGGAGCTGGGGAGTTCCTGCCAGATGTGGACCTGTCGTTTTGTCTTTCTCTTGGTGGTGGGGATAACCGACCAGACCTTAAGCCGCCTGGCTGGTGATTGTTGATGATCTGGTTACTTCGTCGCGGGTAGGGTGGTGGTGACCTGGATCTTTGACGGTTGTTTCTCGATCCGCCATAGTCCGATCTCGGCGGAGGATTGCGTCGGTCTGGTGGGTTTCTCGACGATGAGCTGTAGTTTGAATTCGGGTAATTTCTCGCTGGCGGGTAATCACGTTCCCTACGGTTGTCGTCGTCCCTTTGGTCTCTTTGTGGGCGCGGCGGTCTTGGTGGTAGACCGCGGTCGTTGTCGTAGTATTTTTTCTCGGGGTATCGGCGGGACATCTTGGTTGATGGTAAACTTTTGGTGCGGCTTTCAATGAGCACTCCTCTTTACAGAAAAAACTAACACGTTCAAAACCAAGGATGCCGGAAGGAAAACAGAGGAGGGATCATTGCTTTTGACTTTTGCGACGTTCAGTTGATACAGCAAAGCACACACGTTGTTCTGGAGCAGAACCTTCATTGTTCGCAATACATCCCACTGCCGTCCCTGAAATAGAACATCCAAACAAACAGCCTTTGTTTCTTTACCCATTTATTCTATTCATCGAACAAAGAGTATCGCCAATGCATCACATGCCTTATTCAGACCAAGACAGACAATAGCATTCTTTCTCCCGTCGTCTTCCCAGGTTTCCAACCCGTGAGCCATGCTTCCCGCAAACACAACCCAGCTTCTCCTCAAGAATAATGTATTGTCGTACCCCAAGACAACATCTACCGCCCTCTCAATCTCCTCAACCACCCTCCAGGTCTACCACTGCCATTAGGTCCCGCATCTCTCTCCCCACACCATCTACACTTCCCCCTTTCCATTTTCTCCCTCCCATCTTTCATCATCTTCACCAACTCCTCCTTCTTCTTCAGAACCACATCATCCCGTCTTAACATCTCATGCCACAACGTCAAGAACCCTGGCTTCTTGATGTTGCTCCCAATTCCGTTTCGTCTCCCTTCCCCATTAACTTCCCCTCCTGTTTCCCCATCCCCATCCCCATCTCCATACTCACTCGACGAGCCCTCAGGCCTCTCCACCAACCCCTTCAACCCCCCCGGTAAATCCTCCCAAAGCGCCACCTGCTCACTCCTCACCCTCCCACCAACCCCATCCTCCATCGCCCTCCTCCCCTCCCCCCCAGGACGAGCATAAACCCCCCTCCGTCTCCTCACCCACGCCAGAATCCCCGCTCCCAGCGCCATATCCCTCCAACTCGGCGGTTCCTCCCCGTCTTTCCCACCGCCTACACCAATCCTAGTATCAAGTACCTGCACACACGGAATCCTCAAGTTACACTCCTCCGTTCTTGAAGCTAGAGCATGTACTCGAGCAGCAAAGATGGGTATCTGTTGGACGAAAAACTGTTCCTTGTCGGCTGGGGAAAGAAAGTTGAAGAAGGCTTGGCATTCGAGGCGGGAAATGGATGCTTGTTGGCGGAGACCGGGGATAAGGTCGACGCCACCTAGCCGGACTTCGAGTTGGGTGAGACCGTTGGAGAGGTTGGTGGCCGCTGCAAAGATATGCTTATTTCGTGCTCGGGCTTCGGCGTCTATTTCTGATGGTGCGGTGCGAAAAGCAAGGTCGGACTCAGGGCGCGGGATAGGGGGTGTGCTGGGGATGTTTAAGGGAAGCATGTCACTCTCGGGGTCGAATGTATTTGGTGGATACGGCATGTCAAAGTACTCGGTTGGAGTTGGTGGTCTTTGAAGCGGGGCCGGAGATGGTAAACGGAGCGAGCTGATGATGCCTATTGGAGGTATCGTGGGAGGAATGGCCGAAGGACCCCCTTCGGACTCAGTCCATGCTGCGAAATGAACTCGTTTCTCGAATTTTGGTGGTGGAGGAGGGACCTCACTCGAGGACAAGGGAACAGGCTTTCGTTCAATCGCGTGAGTTGACATATTGAGATCAAGTTTCCGGGCAAGATGTTCGACTGAAGACAGGTAGAGGGATGTTCTTGCATAGGATACAAGGCAGAAAGATGGATACAATATAAACGTACCTGTGCATGATCCACGCTGTTTCTCGGCGAGGCCGATGATGAAACACGGACTTGGACTTGAAAGGATGGCGGAAATTGATTGTGACGGTCCAAGGTTGAGCTGCTGGGCGATTGACGCAAGCATGTTCAGTACTTCGATAAGGAGCTAGTTGATCTCGTTTGCCGTGATAAATTGGAATGCGTCATGACATGCAATCACTGCGAGGAACGACATAAAACACAGCGGCAAAGGTTTCCCACGACAACAAGTTGGAATTATAGCTGTCAATGAGAATATGGCCAAAATTGTACAGAGAGTGACGAATTGCTGCCCTATTAGTTTGAAGATCCGACTCATCATCGACTCGACTCTTCCACCTCTCATTACATGCCGTCGTTGTGAAGATCACCCCTTTTTGTAAACACAATTCTATCTGATCACCAATTCACCAAGAAATCCCACGACTGTCACCCCATCCCAAGGACGGAACGACAAGCCGTAAAAACATGCAAATGGTATTCGAAATATTAACACAATTCCCAAGCGGGACAAATGAGAAAAAGAGTGAGAGAACCGCTCAGAATCAAAGTCAAGCGACTTGTCATAAAACAAACATCTCAGCCCTTCAGCGACGAATAGACCAACGTAGACCCTTGGCCTTCACCTCTTCAGAAACACCCCAAGGCTTTTGAGGAGTAGAGGCGGTGTTTGGCACAAGTGCCCGGCATGCGGCAGTGGTGCAGTCATTCTCCGTCCAGGCGACCTGGAAGTCATCAGCCCACCAGGTCACGGGCTTGCCGGCAACCGTCAACGTGATGTTGACTGCAGTCAAGTTGGTGAATTGCAGTGCAGTAGCGGAATCCAGGATCTGATGGCGGAGAACACAGCTGTCAATGTTCTTGCAAGCGCCAACCACAAAAGTCTTGTTCGCCTGGATCACATCGTGAACACCGTTCCACTGGATGCCCTTGACGTTGAAGACGCATGGCTCAACAGTCGAGTTGCAACCAAGACTGACACCAAGGAAGTCGAAGCGGAAGCAAGGGTTGTTGCGAAGCTGGGCGAGGCCGATTTGTGCAACGTTCTTGGATACGCCATCGTATTGAACCATCTGGGACCCAGAGGACGGGACAAAGCGCGACTGAGGTGGAGGCACGACACGGAAGTCATCCGAGAACAAGAAGCGGTGATACGGGCGTGGAACAGGCTGATGGCGCACAACCATGGCACTGTTGGTGTTGCTGTTCAGTGTCTCGGGAGCGGGAATGTCATCAAACTGGAGCAAACGTCAGTGATCTTGAACTGCAGAAAAGGGGCCAAGGACAAACTCACCCTGAAGGTGTAACCACCACGATCACCAAGTGAGCCGCATGCAACAGACGCCGTAGAAACCGAGTCAGGGGCAACCGAGGAAGGGGTGGGAATAACGGTAATATGCGCAGCACGGGGGTGAATGTGGCCAAGGCCAAACTCGGTCTGGGGAGGAGGAACCTCTTCACCAGCAGAGGACTCCGGCGGGGCCTCGAATGACAATGTGGGAATCGCCTGCTCATCTGACGAAGTGGAGGGCTCGGGAGTCACAACTGGAATGCTCTGGCCACCGCCGGATGAGTCGGTAGGCTCGATAGGCTGGCCACCGCCGGCAGTGCTGGTAGGTTCGGTAGGTTCAGTAGGCTCGATAGGCTGGCCACCACCGGCAGCGCTGGTAGGTTCAGCAGGCTCGGCAGTCAGAGTGGGAATGGCTTGGCCCTCGTTAGAAGAGCTGGGAGGCTCAGCTGTCAATGTCGGGATGGCCTGTTCACCGGATGCAGTGCTGACGGGCTCCGGAGCAACGGCGGAGGGAGTCGTGGGCTCCGAACTGATCACAGCAAGGGTGGAACTGCTCAGCATCAGGACAGTAGATGAGTCACTCGGTGATGGTAAAGAAGGCGCCGAGCTAATGACAGCCAAGGTTGAGCTGCTTAACATCAAGACAGTGGATGACTCGGAGGACGAGGCTGGTGCAACAGCGCTGGCGGAGATATAGCTGGTCGAAGACTTGGTACAAGTGGTGTCAATGGAGTACGTCGGCCACATGGTAACAACAGAGGGACCAAAGCCGCCGTTCTGACCGGGGTCAAAGAAGGCGCCGCCATTGCTGGTGGTACACGAGGTGGTGGTGACCAGTGTGTTCTGAGGCCAGACAGTGAAGATCGAAGGCAGAACAGTGACGACTTGAGGACCCTGAGCAGGTGCCGTCGCAATCACAGCGGAGGGCTGTGCCAAAGTCAAAGTGGTCGCAAAAGCACCACCGCCAATTGTAGAGGGAGAATTGAGACCGTTACCGGAACCGTTGGGATCGATGGTGACAATGCTTGGGCCAGAGCCAGGACCAGAGCCAGAACCAGAGCCGAGAGTGGTGGTAAATGCAACGACCGAGTAAAGACCAGAGCCAATAGGAATGGTTTCCGATAGGACAACCTCCGACACGGTCAAGATAGGACCATTAGATTGAGCCGCGCCAACTCCTTCCTGAGTAATGGTGAAAATGGAACTGGCACCAGCGTTAGGTGAACCGTAGCCTTGAGGGCCATTGCCAGAACCGAAGGAACCATTGTCCGAACCAGAGGGGCCATTGTTCGAACCAGAGGGTCCGTTGCCAGAGCCCGATGGAATGGTGAAGGTGAAGGCAGTGGCAAAGCCAGTTGCACCGGGTTGTAGACCACCGGCAGCCCCGGAAGGCAATTCAGTGATAGTCAAGACAGGACCAAGACCGGAGTTGGGTGAGCCATAACCCTGAGGACCGTTGCCCTGTCCGGAGCCTTGGGGTCCACTACCTTGCCCATTGCCAGGCGACGACAAAGTGACGGTGAATGCAGTGCCGACACCATTCCCACCAGGTTGGACACCTCCGGTTGGAGCAGCACCACCCTCAGTGATGGTCAAGACATTGGATGGGCCATTTTGAGTGGCTGCTGGGTTGCCGCCACCAGGAATCGTGAGAACAGTAGGATGTCCATCAGGTCCAATCACAGTGATGACTTCTCCACCGGGAAAAGAGCCGCCATATGGAGTCGCAGAAGGCTGGGCCGTGATGCCTCCAGCACCGGCCGGAACGGTGACGATGGATGGTGAGCCAGAAGGCAATCCCTCAGTCACAGTCAGGATGCCTCCCTGACTGACAGGAGCCGTGTTGCCGCTGGCAGGAACGGTGACGGCGACAGGTGTACCAGAGAGCGTGAGAGTAAACACTGTGCCAGCTGCAGGAGTGGCCAAGCCATTGCCTCCCTCGGTGACAGTCACGAGGCCGGAGCCAGTGGCGGGGTTGCCGCCTGGGTTGCTCTGAGGAAGAGGCACAACGACCGGTGTGCCGTCAATGGTGATAGTGAACTCGCCATTGTTAGGGGAGCTTCCAGATCCAGACCCTGTTCCATAGCCAATGGGGGACGGACCCTCAGTGACAGTCAAGATATTGGAAGGGCTGGAGCCGGAGCCGCCGCCAACAGGAATGGTGACAACATACGGTGAACCAGAAGTGGGAGTGATGGTGAAGACCGTGAGGCCACTGGGAAGAGAACCAGCACCAGACCCGGCACCAGAGCCGTATCCGGGAACATTGGCAGAACCGCTGGCAACAGTGGGCTGAGCGGCCGGAGCAGTTGCAGGAACGGTGATGGTGAACAAAGTCCCAAACTCAGAAATGACAATCTCCGATGAGGCAGGCGAGGTTGTGAAAGGCAAGGACCCAGATCCAGGAAGCGTGATGGTAAAGAGAGTTCCCGACTCTGAAATGACAATCTCGGAAGGTGTGGGCGAAGGACTAGACGGTTGTCCCGTCACATCAGGAGTGTATGTGACAACTACGGGTGTAGCGAACCCATCAGACGGCCCGAGGGTGATCGTGATGGGAGAAAGCCCACCAGAGGAACCAGTGGGGTTGGAACCAGGTCCGAATGGGTTGCTACCACCACTTCCATACCCTGCAGGACCACCGCTGACCGAAGGTGATGAGCCAGATCCCGATGATGGCTGAAGCGTGTAAGTAACGGCATAGGAAGACTCGGTTTCGCTTGGTCCAGCAGGAACGGTGTAAGTGACAACGACGGGAGACCCAGAGGGAGCAGATGGAGAACCAGCAGGTTCCGTGACGGTAATCACGCCAGGTTGATCACTACCGCCGCCATAGCCGTAAGGATCGCTTGCAGACGGACCAGACCCGGAACCGGAGTTGTCAGGAACAGTGACGGTCAAGACACCTGATGGGCCATTGCCACCCGAGCCGTACGAGCCGCTTCCGGGGAAGGAACCGCTGGAATCGGTGGTCTCGGGAACGACAACAGTGACGACACCGGGCGGGCCATTGGTGTTGGCAGCAGAAGGGAAAGCGCCAGAAGGATAGTCTGAAACGGGAACCGTGAAAGTGACAAGGCTGGGCTGGCCATTAGCTCCGGTAAGTGTGAGGGTCAAGCAAGTCGACTGATCATCATCGCCTGAACCAGAGGAGCCGCTTCCGGGAGTCGGTGGAACTGTGACGGTAACCGGACCTGAAGGGCCATTATAGGGTGCCGATGGAGCACCACCATTAGGGAACGCTGAGGCAACTGGAACGGTGACAGTGGCAAGACTCGGCTGGCCGTTGGCTCCAGTAAGCGTAAGAGTCAGGCAGGATGACTGGCCCTCGTCGCCTGAGCCAGACGAGCTGCTGCCAGGGAGACCAGAGGCGCCTGGAAAGGGGAAAGCTGTGACGGTGACCGGATCCGAGGGGCCATTGTAAGGAGCAGAAGGAACACCGCCTACGGGGAAACCAGAACCAGCGGGAACAGTGACAGTCAAAAGGCTAGACTGACCATCAGAGTTTGCTCCAGGAATTGTCAGCGTCAAGCAAGTCGACTGGCCGTTGCCATAACCAGGACCGCTGCCTTGGCCACCCGAGCCTGAACCCGGAGTGCTGCTGGCAGGAGCCGTAAGCGTGACTGTGGGAGCTTGGTTGCCGGAGCCGAAGCCAGACTGACCAGAACCTTGGCCAGGAAAAGACTGAGTGGGAGCGCCAGCTTGGGGAACAGTCAAAGTGATAGTGTCGGGTGATCCATTACCCGCAGGCGCAGCAGAGCCGCCATAAGGAGGGTAGCCATTTTCGCCTGACGATCCGCCATTCTGACCGGGCTGAGTGGCCTCGGGAACAGTGACAGTGACGGGCGAACCGCCATTCTGACCGCCTTGGCCGGGAGACGAGCCGGCATCAGGTGTCAAAGTGAAGACGCCGGTGTAGCCGGGCGAGTTGCCATCAGCAGGGACGGTGTATGTGACCAATGTGAGACCTGATGAATCCCCAGCGGAGACAGTGCTGTGAACGCCAAAAGGACCAAGTGGGATAGTCAGATCAGTCGGTCCATATGAGGAGCCCGGGTCGCCAGGTGGGTAGGGGAGGTTGGGTGTCACAGTGAGAGTCTCGACCAGAGGAGTGGGCATGCCAGGCTCGGCAGGAATCGTGTAAGTGATTGTCAGAGGATTCAGACCGCCGAAGAATGGTGGGTAGGACTCCTTGCCTCCCTGAATCGTGGTGAGCTGAGGCAAAGGAACGGTGAGGGTATTGCCGGAACCAGGGTTGCCGGAGCCGCCAGCCCCAGGTGTGAGCGCATCGGAGCATGTCGAGGAAAGGAGACCTCCAGGCACTGGCAAGTTGGTTGGCACTTGTGGACCAGCCGATGTACCGCCAATGACAGTGACAAGCGGACCAGATGTCGCGCCATTCAGGCCAGGAGCTGAGACGATGGTAGACCATGACCCAGGACTGTCTGCAACGTCAGGAATGGTGACAGTGAGCACAACAGTGGCTGACTGGTTGGGGCCTTCTGGTATTGTGAGAGTGACGACTTCACCGGCCTGCCCAGATATCTGAGGGACAGTCACAGTGACTCCTGCTGGTGAGGAACCGGAGCCCGAGCCGCCGGGAATGGTGATCGTGATGCCGGAACCAGACCCTGGAGAAGCTGCGCTGGGAGATGCTTGGAGAGCAGTGACTGTGACAATTGAACCAGGGGAGGCACCGTTGCCGTCATTGCCAGCACCAGAACCAGCGCCAGGTGTGTTGATGGTGATGGTCGATACTGGGATGGTGACCGTGCTCATGGGAGTAGAGAGAGCTGTGATGGTGATGGTGACAGGTTCAAGGGTACCAGCAGAGCCAAAGGGAGAACCGAAGGGGGAAGACTCAGTGGTGCAGGTGGAAGAAAGAAGACCATTGTTGCCAGAACCAGAAGGTGAACCGAATGACCCGGGAGACCCGGCACCAGGATCAGAACCGCCAACAGGAACCGTGAGAGTGAAGACCGAACCAGCTGGGGCAGCAGCAGTCGGAGAGTTGCCGCCGGGGACAGTGACGAAGACAGTGCCTTGGTCTGTCTCGGTGCTCGTGCAAGTTGTGTCGATATCGTAATCGAGGCTGTGGAAAAGACAAGTCAGCAAACAAGAAAAGAGACAATGAGACCGGATGGAGAAGGGATGGGAAAGAACTCACTTGCGAGGGACAACAGCACCGGATGTTGTCCAGGCTATGCCCGAGAGCACGCCCAGAGACGCGTTAAGACGCATCTTGGTGTCAGCGACTGGATGCCGAAGTGGTGATCTTGCCTCTCAAGGTGAAGAAGAGAAGATAACAATTTGGACACAAAGTAGGTGATAATGAGCGTAATGCCAGAAGAGAAAACGCCAAAAGGCAAGAAAGTGGGCGGAAAATCTGATGATGCCGAGATCAACAAGGTGAAGAGAGGCTGGGTTGAGAGGAGAAGGATGAGGAGGATGAAAACAGAGAACGACAAGAGGAGCAGGACGACGGTCTTATGTAGGCCATCTGAAGAGCCATCCTCGTCTCCCACCATCCAAGCAGATGACGAGAGGTCGGGGACGAGCAGCATGTCAACTTCCTCTGCGTTTAATGGTCATAACATTAACGAGGAAGGTGTTGTTGTGGAAGTGGAAGATTGCGCATCGTGGACAAAACAGAGGAGGCAAGCATGTGGCCATCAATCGTGCGAAAGTTGACCAAGTGGGAAGGACTTGATGGCATGAAAAGCCACTCTCGACCGCAGCGGAAATGAGAAACATGATGTGGTTGATTGTCATGGAAGGAGCTCAGGGGACTTTAATGAGGGGACTGGTCCATGTGAGATCATCAATAAAGACGTTCCTTCCTCAACTGCCATCTCTGTCTGTAAGAGAACTTGGCCATCGAGATTTGGGACTGAGAAAATCCACCCGAACTTCTGTGGTACTACCCTTTCCTTGGCATATTGCTCCTTCCCGCTTGCAAAGTCTTTGTGATGACCAACATCATCGAGGACCGACGGATTGAGATTGGACACATTGACTGCGGTGGAGCAGCAACGAAGTCATCCTCGTCGACCTCGAATCGCGGCAGGAGTGAAAGGAGGCCGCACTTCCCATTGGGAGTCGTCCCCAACCGAACCAAGGTGCAGTTTCGAAGTTGGCTGGCGGGCAGGCTTCCACGGAGACGGGACTGAGTTGCAAGATCGATGTCCCTGGTAAGAAGCGCTCGCATGGATGACTGCAGGTACCTCTACCCTCTGCGATGGACGGAGCTGAGATGAGTGACCTTGTGTTCCTTCCTCCAGTCGTCCCTCCTTCCGCTGACCAAACTCAAAGTTCCGTCACAACATTCAGTTGCCCCAATAATCCCTGGCAAATTTGTTCTCCTTGGCAGTTTCCTGCTACTCAAGCAACCGAACTGTTTGTTTGTCGCCGTGCTTCTTTGAGAAATATCGGGAAGGTTCACGCAGCATCCGAATTCCATCCATCACTTCCACATCCATGCTCTGAATCGAATGATAGATGCGACTTGCGGCAACTCCACGTCGGCTGATCGTTACGCAGGGAAAGACCGTTCATAACCGAAAGGGACGACTGAATGTTGTTTCAATCACCGAGGTACGTGTGAGTAAACGGGTTGGTTCAGTTCTGTGCGTAGCAATGCACTGGCGAGTACTGACTCTAGTGGTTATTCTTTTCTTTCTTCCAGGTGTCGAGGTTGGTGTGATATTGATTTGTTGAAGATAATGGAGCGTGACACCCTCAGTAGAAGTACATTGCAAGACAGCAGTGAGTGGGAAACCTATGTTAGGTCGGACAGTAGGGAAAGAGTACATAATGTAGCTGTAACAAAGAATGACAAGACTAGAGTGGCCTTTCAGTGATAGACTTTGGGTACCTAAAAGCACAACGAGGCATTCGCTGGCCAGGGAAAAGAAACATACTAAGCACTACGTCTGTTGCTTATGCCAGTCCATAATCTATACCGGATCGTCATGGTAGATACCATCATGGTAGACAGGCTCGTCTGGCTGGTTTCGAGTCGCTTGGTCGCTGGCAGTGACGGGCCGTCCAACTCTGACCCGCGACCTCTGCTCCAGTTCTGCTACCCACAAGGCGGCTCCAGCGCTGGTAGTCAAGAGGAAGAAGAAGCTCAGCACGGGTATCAGCTGGAGGACCATCGCTACGGTTCCAAACCACGTGTACTCCCACGACCAATAGCTGCGTTCCCGCTTCATCTCCTGCTTGCTCAACCCTCGCAGCTGGAACCATCTGTGGTGCGACAGCTTCCCGTACCGAGAACCGGTAATCATGAGAAAGGCAACCGTGCCACCGTACGGTATCAGGTTGAGCGGGAGAAAGACGATCAGCTCGATGATTTGTTTCAGGCTGAAGGGTTGGAACTCGGCCTTGGTGGTGGGCTTGCCCAACATCTTGACCGACGTGGGCGCATCCGGGAAAAGCAGACGATGGGGCGCAACGAGGTCGGTCAGTCCGTGGTTTATTAGCGTTGCCTGTTAGTCATACCGTTAGCAGGCTTTTTCCCACCTTGCAGATCGAAAAGCCCAATTTAACCTACGTCAAAGATATCCACTTGGGCCTCGTCGACAAAGAAGCCTTCAAACAGAGCCTGGATCACCACATGGCCCTCTCCCAGCACGAGCACTATCGCATTGAACCAAGCCCCGGCCTTTCCCTGGAAGATCATCAAGAACAGCAGCTGGGGAATAAAGGCAAAGGTAAACAGGATCAGATACACCAGGAACGAGATGATGGACAACGGGAGTAGGCGGCCTAGGAACACGGGATAGAATTCGGGATGGCGCAAAAAGTAGTATATGCCTTGGATAGGGTATGCGGCAGCGCGAAAGGCACGACGGGCACGATCGACGGGGCCGCGAAAGGGCCGAAGGAAGATTTTCAGGATGCGCCAGAGCAGCGGGCTGCTTCGGCTTCCGCCACCGCTGGCGTCGGGGAGGGAGGGCATGGCGGAGGTCCAGTGGTGGTGGTGCCTGGTTTATGCGCCAGCGACGGGTTTGTTGTTCAACTTGCAACTGAACGGATTTCGATCTGGTATCGGAAGGAGTCTGGAATATCGCCGTGGTCTGAGAACAGGACAAAGAGTGAAATGCGAGTTGCAGGTGACACCGACCGACCGGGCGGCGTGACGTCTGCACCGCAAATCGTCGTCGTAACTCGCGGTTCTCGTGTTACACAGGTTTGTCAGTCTTGCCTGCAGTTGGTCGGCGAGCCTCAAGCGCTGGGCTCGCTACACACTGTGGACTGCAGTGCCGGCGGGAGAAAGCACAGTGGGCTGGCTGGCGGAGTACTTTTGTGTTTTAACGGGTTAACGGCGGGGTGGGACAGCTGTCTACCCCACACTCGGAGCAGAGGGAGCACGGGACTCGGACCGAGAGTGCTCCACTCACAAACGACTATGTGGAGCCTAGACCACCCGAGGACTGGAGCCTTTGCAAGCCTTATCAACTGCACTCCCTTTATCCCATTTGTTGGCGCCCGTCCAGAAATTCATGGACCAAACAGTACTCGTCTAGGGCGTGTCCGATGCAACAGTACCCGTAGAGCTCCGGAGTGTTGTCCGGCACTTGACCTATGCAGAATGGGTTATGTAATTCCTTTGGAAAGTCACTTCCATGCCCCATCTCAGCCGGTTTATTCCCGCTCTCTAACAATTTCTCGTTGGTTTTCCAGCTCTCGTTGGTCCAGTACACTAAATGGCTTGGCAGCCAGCTTACTCCACTATTTCGGAAGCGCGCTGTGTGGTGGTTGGTCTCGAGCAATCTTGGCGGGCCAGATTTACAGAAGGTCCTTTTCTGACCTTTGAAGGCGGGTGTGGAAATGTCTTTTCGTCGAGGTACACTACGATGCCGTGTCTCAGCCGTCCAGAAAAAAACTGTCATGCGGTGGGGGTCAGAAAGGAAACTGCCATGGGTCATTTTTATCTCAATCGAAGTCGGGTTGGACCCTAGAACTAGAATCCCGCTTCCTCTTGTTGAACTGGAGTTGAACTGCTGGGTTTCGGGCGGTTCTTTTCCGCGTCCAACGGTCCAAAACGCCCGGTTCTGCTCCACTGACCAGCTGTCAGCCCATTTTTTGCATCCCAAACAAGTCAAGCTCCTCTGGGAGGTTTGGACGTCTGCTGGTACCGATGGCAACGTTCCATCGATACAGGCGCAAAACATCCATCTCCAGAAGTGAGTGAAGTGACAAGCAGGACTCGACTCGACAGGACTGGACACTCGTTCAATCAATCCACCTGGCCGGGTTCCCCCTTCGACAACAACGAATCTCTTTCCTCTTCCGTGGCACCAGTCGTGGCATCCATACTATGGTAACACGGCAAAGCGCGACACTCCAATGCCGCCACAGGCGACAGCAATTCCACGGTCGAATCGGATTGACTCCCACGCCAGAGCAGCTTGTGTTACTTACTGTAGTGGACAGGGACACGTTTGGGACACTGTGACGCGGGCAAAAAGGCGGACAGGCACAGGCACCTCAGGTCTGCAGCGCAACGCTGAGGCTGGGCTGGGCCATGGCGTCGATTCTTCTACCGACAATAGATAAAACGGGGCCGCGTCGGACACAGTTCCGGCACAGCGTTGTGGTTGAATGGATTCAGTTCATACGGTACTTAACTGTCACCAAAGCATTGCAATCAGGTTAGTGTAGACTGTCGCAACGTCGCTGGACTCCTTCGCTCTACAGTATGTACACTACTAACTAGGTAGGTGGCAGCCCACCGCCAGCCAACCACGCACATGCTCGAGGCGACATGGCGCTACTTGGGATCCTGGGAAAGTGTTGGGCCTTGGCGGCGATGCTACGAAATCGCTGCATCGGGAAGTCTGTGAATGGCTGTTGACCATTGATTGCACTTGTTTGCCTGGCAAAACTCTGGCCGTCCGGTCTCCTCCTACTCCTCTAGCGCGCGCGCACATCACCTCCCGAACTCTGTCTTTCCACGACTTGCACATATTCCCACTGTTCGCTCCGACTCGAGGCTTCCGCGCCTCACCAGTACTCGGGCACATTAAATGCTAGGCCGTCACCAGCTGCATCGAGAACAACAGTCCTGACACAATGGACACTCCTCCCACGGCCTTCAGGGGCAACGAAGACGAGAGGTCGGATCAGCAGAGAAAGAGGAACCGCATTCGGTTTTCGTGTACCACATGTCGAGAGAAAAAGTAAGGCCGCCCATCCCACACTGTTTTCACGCCTTGGCTGACCACAGTGCAAAGACTCAAGTGCAATCGCCAATCTCCGTGTGACCAGTGCATCAAGAGGAACGTTGCCGCAACATGCAACTTTATTCCCTATGCCCAGAATGAGCCGCGCCCATCCCCCTCTGTCTCGGGCACCACACCCGGCTCACAAAATGGTGGCTCCCGCAACAGGAGAGGGGCCCTTCAGGACATGACGGCAGCAGCCCGCCTTCGCCATCTCGAGCATATGGTCCAGGTCCTGAAAGCGCAAATGCGCCGTGAGGAGGGTGGTGGTGGTGGTGGTGGTGGTGCGGACGTGCCGGTTTCTTCTTCGAGGGCCATCTCTCCTGTCCCTCCGTCGCCCTCTGCCCAAGACACGCAGCCGGATGCAGAAACAAGCGCGCCGTCCAAGGGGACAGCAGGCGCCATGGCCGATCAGACACGATACGTCGAAGTCATTCATTGGGAAGCAGTCTACGACGAGCTTACCACCTTGACCAAGAATCTCAAGGCCTCGGATGAAAGTGATCAAGAGGAAGAGGAACACTGGTCGCCCAGGTGTAACGTGCCTGAACGACAGCCCGTCTCGGTCCTCTTTGCTGGCGGCTTTGCTCCTGTTTCCCCGGCCGACCTGTTCCGACGCATGCCACCGAAGCCTGTATGCGACCGTCTGCTGTCTATCTTCTTCCAGGTCAAAGACGCCGCCTGGTCAGTCTTCCATCTGCCCACGCTGTGGAAATACTACGATGCGCTCTGGCAAGAGGATGCCGAGCTTACCTACACCGATCTGGCCCTCTTCTTCCTCCTGTACGCAAACTCGGCCCTCTTCTGTATCCATACGGGCGAGGAAGTTCCTGGCAACTTGGGAAGCCCGATGCAGGCATATAGCATGCTTAAAGCCACGGGCGCTCACGCCCTTGCGCTCTCTGACTACAGTACGCCAGGGAAAAACAAACTTGAGGCCCTGTATGTCTATTTCATTGCCGAGTTTATCGGCCAGCCTGACGCACCGCTCAGCACGTCCATCATCTTTGCCAACATTGTCCGACTTGCCATGCACATGGGACTACATCGTGACCCGAAGCACTACCCTAACATGAGCCCCTTTGAGGGCGAGATGCGCAGGAGACTCTGGCTACAGTTTGTCGAGGTTGACCAGATCGTCGCGTTCCAGTTTGGGCTCCCGAGCAACATCCACTCCCGTTTCTACGATACCGAAATCCCTCGTAACCTTCTTGATGAGGACTTTGACGAAAATACCAAAGAACTTCCGCCCTCGAGGCCCGAATCCGAGATGACATCCGTCCTCCTGAACATAGTAAAATCTCGCACGATATGTGCCTTTGCAGATATCACAGCGGCCATGTGCTCGAGGAACCCCATCAGTTACGCCGAAGTCATTCGTCTGGACAAGCAGCTCGAGGACGCCCACAACAGTCTTCCGCCTCTCCTCCAGTTTCGCAGCTTTGCCGAGTCCAAGGACGACCCTATCGACGTGGTGATGCAGCGGTTTTGGATGGAACTAATGTATCAAAAGGCACGCATCGTGCTGCACCGAAGGTACATGGGCATCGGAAGGACGGATAAGCGTTACGCGCACTCTCAGCAGGTCTGTCTGGACGCGGCTATCAAGACGTTGCGAGGCCAGTTTGATCTTTATTGTGAGCGGCAGCCCCAGGGGCGATTGGCTTCGGAGAAAAACGGGCAGTTTTTCCGAGCCAGTATCACCACTCACGACTTTCTCCTCGCCGGCATGATCCTCTGTCTCGAACTTTCCCACATCAGGGCCAGGGAGAAAAGGGAGGCATCTCCCTGTGGCACGCGGCCTAATGCAGTTGAGAACGATGTCATCTCGAAGGACGCATTGATGCAGATGCTCGAGACGTCGCGGCAAATCTGGCAGTCGACAAGGAAGGAGTCGACCGAAGCAAATAGGGCCTTCAAGATTCTGTCCAAGATGCTGTGTTTGTCAACAGGAGCCGTGTTCGAGAGCAGTCCTGAATCGTCGGGTAGCGCATACGATTCAACCCAGGCGTCTACATATGCAAACTCAGAGCCAGGTAAGCAATCTTTTTCATGATGTTTGTGCGGCCTACCGAGACTAACACTGCTCACGGAAGCGACGGCAGTGATGGGTGCAAATCCCTATTACTACACGCAGCCCCAGGCTCCCACCGCCATGAGCCAGACCGTACCCGTTGCTATACCCATAGTCGTGCCACCAACAACCACAATTTCCCACCCCGAGCAGATGCAATATCCTCTGGCGTGGCAGCCAGACCTCCCCCCTCCGATAGGACCCGTGGACCTTTCCCCTTACAACACAATGGACCAGTTCATGGATCCGAGCTTGACGGCCGACTGGGTAAGCAAAAGGAAGCTGGTTGGTGCGGGCAGTAACGAGAAGCTAACATGGATGCAACAGAACTTCTGGGACAATCAGGTCCATAACACGAACGCTGACGAGCTCCAAATACCGTGGAATACGTTTTTCAACCCACAGATGCCAGGCTATCAATAAAATACTTGGAGGCACACCATCAATGCATGCTTTAACCGACATATGTCTCGTTGTGGAATTTGTCTGTGATTTATTTGCAGTCATGACGAAACAGCATCGAACGGCACATCAGCCCTCGCTGGATGCATCGTGAATTTCTCAGTTTACTCATGACAGAAGGTGACGGGAAGCGCGGCCGCTTACGAAATGCAAGATGGTAAAGAGCGACAGCCACTTGGCCCTCCCTCCCTTTACATAACGCGGGCTTGACGCAGCGCATTCTCTCTGCTGGCCTTGACAATTCCAAACATGGTCCAAGAGGTCGAGCAACACTAATGTGTTATTCATCTAGCCCCAAGCCGTCAACGGGAAGGCGACTCGGAGTCGGACAGCTGGCGATAGCGTCCAGATGCCGAACCTCGACTTTCGGGTTTTGATACGCCATTTGACCGTGGCATGTTGCCGCTCTCGCCTCGGCAGAAATCACCATTATTGCAAAAGACGACAATTCTCAACTTCAATTTTCAACACTATCGAGCACAAACGCCACCACGCCCGAAAATGACAATGGCGGGGATGTAGTTGGGTACAGGATATGGGATGGAGATGGAAGAGGCTAGTAAACGAGGGGGCTGTGTTAAGCACTAGGGGTTTTGTGCTTTTCAGCCAGTACTGATGACATTTACAGCCCACGAGTGTGGTGTCCGGGGCAGCAAGCCTGGGACTTCAAACAGCATTCCGGATGGGAAGGGTGATTCGATATTCGGATCCGATCTCAAGGCGTCGGGGCGCGCCGCATCGATAACGACGGGCCCTGCACCGTCTCCACACGGCCCCCGCCATGACTGAGCCGAGATCCGATAGACGCGGTCTATTTACCCCTCTTCAGTTAGCTCGGATACTTACTTTACAGTGATTGGACCCGCGGAACTATTGCGCCATTGGCATGTGTCATGAACTTTTGGGTGGGAGGCTGATAAAGTACGTGTGGTAACAATTATTTTCAATGTTTGAACCTCTCTTTTTTGACTATTCTACAGTGGTGATGCACTAAAATTGAGCCTCATTCCATCCATGTTACACGTTACCACTTACCACACTACGAGCTCCACAGTGGATCCCTATACATTCCCCAGTTTCTCCACCTGTCCACCGTATCTCTCACCCGTGACCGGCGCAAATATTTACAATCTTCACCCACTCAAGTCTCATCACTCGTCACAGCACTTACATACATACGTATACTAGACGACCTATACGCCAAGCATGGGTTCCACAAACACTACCGCGCCCACGGGCGGCGGCGCCGAGGGCAACAACAACAACCTTGACGTCTTCAAGAACGACATCCTCATGCTGCACGTGCCTCTTCCCCCGGACCAAGCCTGGATCGACAGACTCGAGAACAAGTACCCCGGCTTCAAGGTCCGGTGGGTACACCGCTCATGGCAAGACTACGGCAAGGACGACGAGAGCACGGCGGCCGAGGAGTATGAGGGCGTCACCATGTTATGCTCCTTTTACCCGCACAAGGCCGAGTTGTTGCCCAAGTTGAAATGGGTACAGCTCACGAGCGCCGGTGCCGATCCGTGGCTGCAGCATCCGCTGTACTTGAACAAGGAGATAGTGTTTTGTACTGCCAACGGGTGTCATCCGTGAGTTTCCCCCCTTCTTTCCATCACAAGTAACCATGATTAACAAGTGTTGTCCGAGGTAAAAAGCCCCCAAATAGCCGAATGGGTAATCGGCACCTACCTCATGCTCTCTCACCACTTCCTCCCCTACCACGACGCCGCCACTCAGCACGGCCAATCCCAAGTCCTGCGGCACCTCACCACCGTCGACTCGCCCGGCATGCGCATGGGTATTCTAGGCTACGGCGCCATCGGCCGCCAAGTCGCGCGCGTCGCCCAAGCCTTAGGCATGGAAATCTACGCCTACACGCGGCGACCCAAACCCACTCCCGAGTCCCGCAAGGACGATTCTTACCACGTCCCCGGCACTGGTGATCCAGACGGTATCATCCCATCGAAATGGTTCTCCGGTTCTTCACGCGAGGACATCGACCACTTTTTAGCTCAAGACCTCGACATCCTGGTCGTTTCGCTTCCGCTTACGGCGTCGACCAAGCAGATTATCGGAAGGAAACAGTTCGATATCCTGGCGAAGAAGAAGACGTTCTTGTCGAACATTGCGAGGGGCGGACATGTGGATACCGAGGCGCTGGTGGAGGCGTTGAAGGAGGATAAGATTAGAGGCGCGGCGTTGGATGTTACGGACCCCGAGCCACTGCCTCAGGGACATGAATTGCTCAAAATGCCGGATAAGTGCTTTGTTACGCCGCATGTGAGTTGGCAGACGCCGTTTTACTTTGAAAGAGTAAAAGCGATTCTGGAGGAGAATTTGGAGAGGTGGAGGGTGAATGGGGGGCCGAGGGGGTTGGTGAATTTGATGGATCGGGAGAGTGGGTATTAGGGGGGTGTTTTGGGGATAAAAGGGGGGAATTAGAGATGGGAAATGGGAGATGGAAATGGGGAATGCAATTGGGGCGGGAACGGGAGCGGGAACTGACACGGAAATGAGAAACAGGAGAGAGAGAAAGACGGTGAAGAGAATAAAAAGGAAGGATGGTCATGAATGACACATTTTCACCGTTCCAACATGGGCTGGGACTGTCGATTGTCAAAATAGAGGTAAGTGAGAAGCAAGACAAGACAAGAAAAAAAGAAAAAGAAAGAAAAACATACAACACCAGGGATTCGCTGGTCGTCACCGACCCAACTACTAGTCTGGCCCTCACTGGCTTATCTATGGGAGAGCGGACGGGATCCCGAGTTTTCCAGTGGGTATGGTCGTATGTGATTTGAATGACTCTAGCGGGGGATTATAAGGGAAAGTATCTTAAAGCCAGACACCAGACTCCAACAAAAACCCATGATATCCCAAACAGCGATGAGGTGTGCTAGGTAAGATGGGTTTACAACTGGTTCACCAACGATTGGGATTGGATATCAACAATCCGATTTGAGCGCCAAGAAAAGAAGCGGACAAACCGATTCCAGCAAAGGATGGCAAGGAGACCATGTGGAGGACAAGGAAGGAAATCGATCAGAGAGATCTCGATACCAACTGCCGAACCCTGTGCGGATCAGTGATCACTGCCAAGGGTCCGAGAAAGCAATAGCCTCAACACCGCCGCTCTGGGCATGGATATTTACCTCGTCCCCATGTCAACCAGCCAAGAGATCCAATTCGTGTATGTTCCTACGACTCCGCCACGATGGTGTCCAAATAAGCTTTTTTAGTTCAGACCTCCTCTTGGCCTACGCGTTGACCTCGTCGAGACCTACGTCACCCGATCTGGGTAGGCTCCACCGGGACATCCATGTCCATCACGTACCAGGTCCCAACACTCCCCCCCGGGGTCAATGACAACTTCCAGTTTGGTTAAATGATCGCCACTGTCTGTTCCTGAATCACTGTCTCACCCGGTTGACTCACTCTTGCATCACTCCAAGCAATTTGATTCTTCCAGGTTGCCGAAAAAACAAGCTTTATAAGACGCAACTTCCCGAGACAAACACCATCATCAACAAAACAAAACCAAGCCAGCCGCCCACGACAAACAATTCATCCCAATGTCTTCCAATACAACACCCACATCGACTACCAACATCAATACTGGTGATCCGACCACATCCACTCACAAACAACAATCACCACTCAACAGTCTTTCTTTAAGCTCAGTATTACCCACAATCACCAACTCGACAGCAACAGTACCCTCAAAAACAACAATGGCACCACCACCGGCTTCCATGGGACACGGTTACTCGTCAGAGAACCAGCTCCGAAGCCGCCGGAGATCATCTGCCTCCTCCACGCGCAGCGAACACTTTGCCGCCGCCGCCACTTCGGCCTTTGCCGTGCCCACCATTTCCGTTCCCACGCCCACTTACTCCAGCCATCACCGCTCATCCTCCAGTACCTCCCAACACTTGTCTCTGCCACCTTTCCGTCATCGCCGCTCATCCTCCAGCGCCTCCCAAGACGGCTACCGCTCTCCTAGCCCGGGCAGCAGTAGAACTAGCGCCTTTGTCCTCCCTCCTGGGGTTTCCATCAGCCAAATCACGCCCAACGTGTTTGTCGGGAACAATGCGAGTTCCACTTCGATCCAGACGTTGATGCATTACGGCATTACTTCCATGGTTTCCCTTCTATCAACTGCGGAGCAACAGCTCAACGAAGATGCGTGGAATTCACCCGCCTTAGGGATGTTGGTCCCCAAGCAAAACAGGCTGTTTGTGCGCTGTGAGGATTCGCCCGAGGAGGATCTGATGGGGAAGTTGGCCATGATCTGCAAGTTTGTCGAGGACCAGATCGAAGAAGGGCATCCTGAGCAACGACATCGGAAGCAAAGCGTCGAGGAAATGCTAAAGAGCGTGTTACCTGCGAGTGAGGTGCCCAAGGGGTTTCACACCGGAACTGCTGATCAGGAGCAGCAGTCTAAACCAAAACAGAGAGTGCGCAGTCTGATTCCCGATGAGGAAGGGAACGTTGAAGGGCCGACATTATCCCCGCAGAACATAAATCCCAAGGACACGACAGAGTCGCCGAAGCAAAAGTTAAGAAGGAACTCAATCCCCGCACCACGAATGCAAAGAGTCCGATCCTTAATCCCCGACGACATACACCCCGTCCCATCCGTCCCATCCGTCCCATCCGGATCTATCCCCTCCATCCCCTCTGCTCCTGTCCCTTCGCTCCCTGGCGGGCCTCACCTCTCACCACTACTCGACACATCACCCTCGCAGCTCTCGGCCCTTTCTCCTGCCGCCCAAGCAGGCCCATTAGCATCATCTGCATCTGCATCTGCATCTGCATCTACATCTATATTTACATCCATGTCAACATCTACATCAACGCCCACAAGCCCCTCCACCCAATCCAGTTTCGAAACAGGTGGCAAAGTCCTAATCCACTGCAACCAAGGCGTCTCTCGCTCTGGCGCCGCCTGCGTCGCTTATATTATGAAGCAGCAGCCGAACTTGTCAGCACGTAAGGCGGTGCGGTTCGTGCAGGTGCGGAGGAAGGAAGTAGAGCCCAGCGCGACTTTTTTGCGGCAGTTGGGGGTCTGGGGGGAGGAGTGCAAGTTTGATGTTTGGGAGGAGGAGGAGGATGTTGGTGGGAGTACCTCTGATGAAGGGCTGAACGGAAAGGAGGCGCATGGAAAGTCAGGACATGAAAACAAGAAGAAGAAAAAGGTGCCCAAAGCTCCTTACAAGAAATGGTTGGATGAGCGGGAAGAAATGCGGAGACAAGTAAAAGAAATGGGGGGCTTGGTTCTTCCGCAGGGTGGAATACAGGTTTAGGATGCTGGTGGCAGGGAAGCTACCTCTAGGGCTGGAACTGGATATGGACATGAACATGCACATGCACATGAAAATGAACAAGGAAATGGGAGTGGGAGTGGGGGAGACCGGCACGTACAGTGGGCTGCATCTCCCACCCTTTCTCGGACTACTGGGTGCTGGGGGCGATTAGCTCGACGGGTTCCGACTCCTGTTCCTGCTCCTATTCCTACTCCTGTCCCTAGCGGTGCTCGTGCTGCTTCTAGTTTCGGTGCCGGTACTGAGTCTGATACTGATTCTGGTTCTGATTCCGATTCCGATACTGGGAGAGACGAAGGTGGTAGTGACGTGGGTGATCTGTTAAGAGAAGTGGGCGGGTTGAGTTTGAGTCGAGCGCAGACGGAAAGCTTGGGGAGGATGTATCGGGGGAGTAATTGGAATGGTACCTCTATCAAGCCGAGGAGCCGGACTTAGTAGGTGGTGAAGGATGATAACGAATGAAGAGGAATACCTCTAAGGAATAAAAATTGAGGGATATAATCAGGGTGAGACAGCAGCGAGTTACCATAGGGCATGGAAGCAGAGGAAGTAGATACACATAGGTACAGAATCAGCTCAGCGAAGGAATGGAATATTAAAGCGATTATTGACTACCTCTACGGATCCTACTTGGGATGTTACCTACCTATCGGTGCTTTGGATGGGTACCTTCCTGTGCTTTGAGACGTGAGTAAGGTACCTCTATCAAGTGATTAACGATTCAATGAAAACGAAGGTCAGCAATGAAAGGATACTGACTTGCCTCTCTTGGACTGGACTAGAGTGGACTGGATTTGGCGGATGGATGGCCGTCAAATTGAGCAGCAAGCAGTGGAAAATAGGCAGTGGGCAATGGAGCACTCAAGGTTTTGTCCGGCTTGCTAGCACCGAGCACGACAGACCTGGGTGATCGGGCCTTGGTTTTAGTCATATCTGTAGTTGAGCCTGTTCGAAAGCGTGCTGTTTTCTGGTGCGGTTTCCCTTGTAGCGAACGAGGGACGGGACATATAGCGAGGAAAGCGCACACAAAAGCGCGAGAAGAACAAAAACAGCAAGATAATCACATGTTGGTTTCAGCAAAATTACCAATAAGGTACCTCTACCTGGCAAGTTTGTATTGAGTTTGAAGGCGTGATGTTTTTGCTGCGGTTTTTCTTTTCATTTTTGTTTTGAAGTAGAGAATGACGAGTGGGGGGAAGTGGTGGGAATGAAATAGGTGCTTGAGCGGGGGAAATGAAAAAAAGAAAAGAAGAATAAAAGCAATGAAAACAGACGAGGAGGAAAACGGGGTCTGAAAGCATCTCCCAACATTCTACCTACCAGAGATTGTAGGAAAGACGGTGATTTTTGGTGCCGCCAACTCCAGCACCGTTAGCTGGAGAAAACAGGGAGAAAAGACAGGGCATTAGAACCTATGAGTCGAACTTACAGTGGTCCGGGGTGGCAACATTTGTCTTTCACTATACTTTTACCGTCACAAGATGTTCAGCTTCGAACATACCTACCTCTACATAGACCTAATTGCTTCTGATTTCCGTGGAATGTCAAACTGGATGGCTCGAAGGCCCGAGTCTTTGCGGTATGTCTACCTATGTCGAATCCGAAGGCGTGTTGCTTTCGCTGCGGTGTTACTGGTGACGGGAGGAGAATGACAAGGGAAATTAAGGGGACGGACGCGGGGGAAAGAAGGGAATATAATCAAACAAAAATTCATGTGTGATTCCAGTCCGCAGTCGTAAGGTACCTCCATGGTAGCAAGGGCTGAGACCCTTCTGCAACAAACCTAACCTACTTGCATGTCTTATTTTCCTTTGGCTTGTTGATTTGTTGATTATGTGAGCCCGCGTGTGATGCTTGTGCCTGTGGCCAGGTCATGATACCTTTGGAGAAATCCGGTCAGACTCGTCGGAGACGGAACTGCGACATCTGGTTCAGTGGACACTGGGCGCTGGGCGGTGACTGCCCTGTTCTTGCAATGCATAAACAGGTACAGGCACAGGCAGGTCAAGGAAAAATAAAACCATAAACTCCGTTTCGGCAAGAAAGCTTTGCAGTTTGCAGCTCCGGAGTCCCGAGAATGCATGTGGTGATGTAGGTGGTGGTGGTGATGGTGAAATCAACGTGTCCGGATTGGGGAGCGCTTCGGTAGAGTATTTTGTAGAATGATGAAGACACTCGACGCCAACGATGCAGGAAACTATGTGTATCACATGTATGAAACTTTGGACTTGTCTTTGAACAGTTTCCTTTTGCCTCAGAAGACATTTGGTGTTTTTCCTTTCGTGATATGATAACTTGGCCATGTCCCGGGTGCTGCGGGCTACATAATTTTCTGCAATCCTGAAAGCTGCAATCTCAATACCAGTGGCGAACTGTATCAAGGTACATGTCATGTCGAGGTGACGGACGTCCGGAACACTTACCGGACAAATAATATAAATGTTCAATGCCCATCACACGCATTTCCTGATGAACGCAATGACCAGAAAGAATGCTCGAATCTCCTCTTCAAGACCCTATTTAAGCCTCTCTTCCCCAACTCTGTGTTCCAGTTGTTTTTTTTCCCCCATCAGATCATACACAACCATCAAAGCCTCGACCTGATCTAACTATCTTCTTGCTCAACCAAACTTGCAACCTGCCAGAAAGTTTCTTCCAACACTTTACATCTGAAACTCATCAGTCATCGTCTGATTGTATGTCCCCCTTTCCCTATCTGTCTTCGAACATCTTCCCCTTCTGACAAAGAATAACTAATTGACTAACAACTCTTTCCATCAGACTACCTAACACATCCAGCCGCAATGCGTTCACCTTTCGGCACTACAGGGCTTACCAGATCACTTGGTCTGGTGGCCCTCGCACTCTCAACCACCTGCACCGGGATATACATCCCCAGTGCCCGTGTCCCCCTCCCGGCATCTTTGGCCCGCAAGGATGCCACCACCATCACAGTCACCACCGTGTCCACAGCAGGCACGACGGTGACAAACCTCGAAGCGGACAGCAGTGTCTCCGTCCCCACTGCTGCTACTACCCCCAGCCTCCGCCGTACGCGCTCCAGACGACCGGTTACGGTTGTCGAGACGGTCACGGCCACTACGGTAATGGAGACGGTCACGGTCACGCCGGCCGCCTCCTCGGCGACGAATAGCGTCGAGGACAACAATGCTTCTTCTGGTTCCTCCGATGTGTCTTCTATCTCTACCGAAGTCGTCACCGATGTCGTTGTCGTGTCCCCTGAGACGGTTACCATCATTTACGGTGGGGGTGCCTCCTCTACTGATGCCGGAGCTGCTCCTCGCAGTGTCGTGTCTTCGACTAGCGATGTTTCCTCTTCCTCTGCCGATGCTGCTTCCACCTCCATCGAGGTGACTACTGTTACTGTCTTCCCCGAGGTCGTTTCTACCTCTACTGTTGGAGTGTCATCCTCCACTGATGAGGTTTCCGACTCTGCCTCCACCAACAACGCTGTCTCCACCCGCAGGACCACGATTACCTTGGGAAAGGGAACGACCACTGCTACTGAGGCGGCCACTTCAGTCGAGACGTCCACTTCTGTTGAGAGGACCATTACAATTGACACGGCCGCACTCATAACTTTGCCCACGTCGTTTGTTACCCTATCGAGGAGAGCAGACAACAAAGCGGCTCCCTCCTCGTCATCTTCTACTGATGGCGATGCCATCTCCATCGAGGCGGCTACACTGACCGTCATCCCCGCAACCGTCTACACCACATTCACTCACAAGGTGTCTTCCCCTTCCTCTACCCCTGATGACGTTGAGGTTGTTTTCACCCGCAGGGTCACAAGTACTTTCAAGAAGGGAAAGCCCGCCCCTACTACATCAGAGAAGACGATCAAAGGCGTGTTCAGCTTTGAGATAGGGGACAGGAGAAATGTTGTTCGCGCGGCTACCGCCACCCCGACCCTCGCCTCTGCCTCTCCTGTTGTGTGGAATACTCTTTTTGGTCATGGCCCTGTCGTTGTCTCTACCTCTTCTGCTTTCATGAATCCTCTTTTTGGTCATGGCCCTGTTGTTGTCTCCGCTAGTACTCTCGATGCGCCGGAAACTCTGTCGACGGTGTTCGTCACGGCGCAGAGGACAGGCGACGCAGCGGTCTCTTCTAGTGGCTCCTCCTCCGCCGTTGCCGCTGCCTCTGTCTCGGCGTCTGCCTCTCCCTCAACATCTGCCTCTGCCTCGATTTCTGCCTCTGCCTCGACTTCTGCCGATGCCGCTCCCGTTTCGTCTACTACCAGTGATCGCCCTCTCCTTACCATTACCAGGATTAGCACGAGTGTGACGGCCACGGTCCATGTCACCGTGGTGACGGCTACGGTCCATGCCACCGTGACACCCGCCGCCCCCACCGAAACGAGGTCGACGCTGCAGCTGGCGCAGGCTAACTGTCTCGTGTGCCAGGACATTTTCGACGACAATGGTATAGTGCCTCCTGAGAAGGTGCCTGCGTCTGCTGCTTATGCTGTGAAGAGGAACTTGGACTCATTGGAGGAGCCTCTGAATAATACTGCCCCTGGGCGCAGGATACCAGTGGGGAAGTTGATTTCTCTGGATGGCGGTGATGACATTGCCCCCCTACTCATCCCTCCTATGTTGCCTACTAGTGGTGTACCTCCAGTTAGTGATCATGCCGACGCTGCTATCACTGGGGGTGGTGATGGTGTTGTCCCCCACCTCATCCCTCTGATGTTGCCCACTGGTGGCGTGGTTGATGATCATGCCAACGCTACTGTCAATAGGGATGGTGCTGTCGTTTCCCGCCAACTCGTCCCTCCTATGATGTCTGGGTTCAGCGTCGCCACCCACATCACTCGGAGCTCGTTCTCGCCCATCCGCCTTCCCCCCGTTACCAACAACGCGGATTTCCATACCACCCGGTCCACTCACTCGCCCATCCGCCTTGCCCCCATCACTAACAACGCGGACCATGCCACCCGTCCCACGCAAACCGCTACGCCCATCCGCCTCGCCCCTATCAACAACATCACCACTCCCACCGGCGTCCACCAACCCCAGCCCACCGACCTCCTACAACCCAAGTCCTTCATGAGCCACGCCCCCCTCAAGGACGCCCCCCCCCGGCGTCGTGGACGATGACCACCCCATCCCCGATTACTACCTCGAACCTCTCTCCCAAGGCACCGCCAAGTCCCGCCGTGCCGAAACCCTCCCCCTCCCCCCTCCTCCCCCCTCCCCCCTCCTCCCCCTCCCCCCTCTCAACATCACCAACCTCAACCAGGCCTACAACCCCTTCCCCAAGTCCACCATTTTCAAAACCCCCGTTACCAAGTCCGCCAACCCCCTTCTCGGCACCCCCAACCCCCTTCTCGGCACCCCTCGCCCGACCCCCACCCCAACTCCCCTATGGGAATATGAAACCCCCTTTTAGAGTTTAGGTAAACTCTAAACTCTCTCCGGCCTGCAACTGAACTCCGCACACAACGACAACGACAACGACAACGCGCAGAGAAAGGGAAGAGGGAAAGGAAAGGGGAAAGGGGAAAGGAGACAGCGTAGAGGGAAGGGGAAGTAGAAAGGAAAAGAGGAAAGAGGAAAGGGAAGGGGGATGGAAGAGAGAAAGGGAAAGGAAAAGGGGGAAAGAGGGAAGGGAAAGGGAAAGAGGGAAGGGAAAGGGAAGAAAGGGAGGGGAAGGAGAGAAGAGTGAAAAGGAAAGAGGGGGGAGGAAGAATGAAGGAAAGCGTGAAAAAAAGTACGAGATTCATTCCTCATCTACCTACTTACTTCATCTGTTCTCGTTATAGATTGGATCTTTTCCAATCTCACCTAGCGTTTTCCTTTTTCCAGAATTGGATCATCAGTTGTAGTTCCAGGTAGTGACGCCACTACCTTACAACTTATCTTAGCGTTATCATCTAGCGAAACTCTGTTTCAGTTCCAAACCTACCTACCTAATCTTTGCGTTGCCAATTTTAAGAGATTGTGATACGTCGAGTCAACTTGGTCCTGAAAACCCATCCGCTGTCAGTGCTGTACCCAGAACACATACATCTTATGGATCATGTTAACTTACCATAACTGCCCAGCGACCGCCCTCGCTCTCGCTTTACCTACTGTCAATGTCAAAGATCTCCTCCTTTCACCTCAAAGCCGTATGCTAAAAACTGTAAGCCATAGCCCACAAGACGCAAGACACAATGGGAAAGACGAGAGAGGATTCTCTAGGGACACAAGACATATACAATATTCTCACTGGGGCAGATCAATATCAGAGGAAGTAGTAACCATCCAATACCAAGTTGACGACATAGAAGTATCCAGACAGAAAACAGCACACACAAATCGCAAGCAAAAAAGAAACCGGAAGGGAATAGAATAACGAATTCGCAATTTAACGCCTAGCCTCCATTTCGATTCCGCAACTCCAATGAAGTCAGTAGGAACCTAAGAAAAATAAAAACTCCGTACAATACCATCAACCATTAATCCATCCAACCTCCCTCAATTATAGCCTACGCCTCCCAATCATCATCACTCGACGGATCCTGCTCCTCAGAATCCAAATCGCTCGAGTCGTCATCCTCCTCATCCTCGTCCTCCTCCTCTTCATGCACAACTCTACTAGCTCCCCTCGTAGCCCTGGCTTCTCTTCGACCTCCCACCGCGCTACTCTCCCCTGCGCGACCGCGGTAGTTGTTGAAGGCTTCGTCGCCGTAGGATTCGTTGCTATTGTCCGAGTCCTCATCTTCATCAGACGAGTCATCATTTTTCTTGCCCTTTTTCGTGGCCTTCGTGGCTTTGCCTTTACCCTTGTCGAGAGCTTTGCCCTTGCCCTTATCCACCGCCTTCCCCTTCTTCTTTTTCTTCCCCTTATCACTTTCCTCATCATCATCACTATCATCCTCCTCCTCCTCCTCAGCCCTCCTCGCCTCCTCCCTCTCTCTCGCCCTCTTCTGCCTTCTATACAACTTATCTTTCAGCCTCTTGGCATTTAACTTTCTGAGCTCCTCTCTTCTCTTCTTCTGCTCTTCTGTCATTTCTTCTTCGTCTTCCTCATCTTCCTCATCTTCATCCTCGTAGTCGTCCTCCTCGTTCTGCTTCTTTTTCTTCCCTTTCTTTGCTGCGGCAATAGCATCCTCTGCCTCGCGTGCCCTTGCTCTCCTCTCCGCTTGATACTTCCTGTCGCGATGTTTCTTCCTTTCCTCCTTTTCACGCTTGATGCGAGCGGCGCGTTGTGTGGCAGTCTCGTTGGGTGGAATGGGGAGCGGTTGATAGACATCGGGATCGGCGTCACCGCGGCGACGTTGACGGGGGAGCGGGGCGGGAGGGGGAGGGGGTGGACGAGGTTGACTTCCCGAGGGACGAGGTTGGCTTCCAGAAGGACGAGGTTGGTTTCCTGTAGGACGAGGTTGGTTTCCTAAGGGACGGGGTTGGCCGGGGTTTGCACCAGATGGGCGAGATTGTTGTGTAGAAGGTGCCGATGGGCGAGGTGCTTGGTTGACCGGTGCCGATGGGCGGGATGGTTGTTGGCTCGGGGCACCTGCTGGACGAGTTGAGGCTGGTCGGGCTGCTTGTGTAGAAGGTGCAGATGGGCGAGGTGCCTGTTTGGCGGGAGCAGCTGGGCGGGATGATTGCAGAGCTGAAGCTGGAACTCGGGGTTGTGGTGCCGGTCTTGGAGCCGGTCTCGGAGCCGGAGCTGGTCGAGACTCGGGTTGAGGTTGTGCTGCAGTACCACTTCCACCTGCCCTCGCGGTCCTCCGCTCCGCAGCTTGTTCAGCAGCTTGCTGTCTTTCCGCCTCTCGTCGGGCTTTTTCCTCTTGCAGTTGAGCCACCAGTTGAGCTTCTTCGTCAGAGTCATGTGCAGCAGGCCTATTGCGAGTGCTCCGCGTAATGGGCGCAGCAGGAACCGGGGCAGCAGAGGCCCGGGCCCGGGTAGTACGGGATGGGGCCGGGGCAGGAGCAGGGGCAGGAGCAGGAGCGAAAGGATCCTCAGGAGCAGCGCTGGAAGCCGCACCAGCACCAGCACCTCTACCTCCTCTAGAGGCAGTAGCTCCCTTCCTCCCCTTCTTCTTCCCCTTCTTATCCTCCGGCGACTCCTCGTCCGGTTCCTCGACCTCAATAATATACTGCCTTCCCTCTGCCCAGGCCCTCATCATTCTCTCTCTCCTCTCCACATCTCTCGGGTCCAAGGTATCCCTAAACCTCTCCCTATAACTCCTGATAAACCGCTCCAACGCCTCCCTTCGGACCCTCGCCTCGCCCTCGGCAAAACTTTCCGGATCTTCTTCCAGGTCTTCTTCTTCTTCGTCTTCGCCCCTGTCCTCCATTTGCGGTGGCCTTGGAAGAGGTGGATGTCCATGATACCCATGCTCAGGGATGAACTTCCCTCCCGTATGGTCTGGCGGGGGTCGGTTAAGGACGGGCTCTCGGTCCTCTAGGTGTGCCAGGACCCTCTCTCTCATTTCCCTGAACCCCGTGACTGCTTGATCAATTGCCTCACGCATTTGTTGCTCTAGCTGTTCGTTGTTGAGGATGGGACGGGGTGTCCCCTTAACTAGAAACCTGGCGGGTGTCCTGAAGGGGGCACGGGGACGTCTACCTGGGAGCGCTGGTCGATTGACGGTGTACTCGTATCGGGCTTGCCTGTCAAATTGCTGTCGAGAGGTGGGAGAGTAGTTAACGCGGTTATTATGGAGCTCCAGCAGGTAGACGCGCTGGCGCGGAGTATACTCGGGGCGAAGGTGGGGAGTGAGGTAGTCCGGATGGCGGGGATCGCGGTTGTCGACCGGAGGTGGAGTTTTGGGAAGCTGCTCTTCTCTGTTGTCGACGTCGTCAACGCCGCCCATGGCGACATCTTCGTCGTTGTCTTCTTGTTCAGGCGTAGCGTCCCTCTCGACATCCCTATGTCTGTTTCGGATAGGAGAGAGGAACATGTTGTCGCCCGAATACTCGGACCATCTATTGGCGCCGGATCCACGAGAGCCACGAGAACCCCTCGATCTGCGAGAGCCACCAGAATGTCCACGCCCAGCACCATCCTCATCTTCATACTCGCCATCATCCTCGTCCTCAGTATTATGATCCTCATTGTCATCTTTATCCGTCCCCTCAGCGCTAGACCTATCCTCTTCTCTCTCCCTATAACCAGTGAACTGATCCCTATCGTCCGACCCCGGTTCATACCGTCTGATCGGGCCCGGACTGGGTCCCTGACCCGGAACGAACTTGCCACGGCCTGGAATAGGGCGATTTTGAACGGGCTGTTCTCTCACTGGAGGTGTACGGTTGACATGTTTGATTCTGGGTTGTCGGGGTCTGACGGGGGAAGGGACACCTGGTTGTGGAACTTCTTGTTCGGGGTTGGGTTCATCTTGGGCGGCGGCGGCGGCGGCTTCAAGTTCTTTCTGGGCATCGTGGTCCATGTCTATATCTTCGTGTGGAATGCTAAAAAGATTGTCTTCGTGGCCAAAAAGATCGTCGTCGTCTTCTTCTTCGACGACGTTCTCGACTTCACCATCGTCCGTTTGAGGTTGAGGTGGGAATCGGCCACCAATTGATCGGCCTGGACTTCTTATTATATCTGTGCGTGCTGCACCTGGTGAATGGAGAGGGGCAGAGGGTCCACGTTCTGGTCTCCGGCCGGCGGGTTGACGGGGTGGACTCCTCCCGTCGTCGTCACTGGAAGTCGACTCGCGACTTGAGATGGAACTGGGTCGGTGGGGGCTGCTTCCCACCCTTCGACCTGGCCTTCTGCCCTCTGAGCCCTCTGAAGATGGCTGGCTTGGCGGATCGCCTCCAAGTGCAGCAGCTTGTGCTCGTCCCGATGGCGGTTGACGCTGGGACTGACCTTGACCTCTTCCAGCCTCTCGCCGGCCTTGAGGCTGGGAAGTTGCCGGGCGTTGACGATCTCTCTGTCCGTCGCCAGCATCCTCATTGTTACCTCCTTGTTCTTGCTCCGGCTCGTCAGGGGACAATTGTCTTGCCCTCTTGCCTTGATTTCTCTTCTCCTTTAGCCATTGTTGCGAGTTTTCAAGCGAATCACTCCTGTCTCGCTTCTGACCTCTACGTTCTCCGACATCACTCTCATTTTCATTTCCTTCAAGGACAGTGGCCATAGACCTTCTTTCCCCAATAAGTCCAGGCGTCACATGCTTACTCGGCACAGCACCAGCACCCGCACCAGGACGAACAGGCGTACTCCCCCTCGGCAGCGGCACCGACGCCGGCGCCTGACTCTTACCACCAGGGCCCCTCTTTACGGGTTTCTTCTCCCTTGCATCCGCCTTTGCTTTTGCAGCCGCTCCCGCCGTCTTGGTCTTTTTCTTCCCTTTTACGTGGTCCTTCTTAGCCGCGGCATCATCTTCAGCAGCTTGTCCCGTTAATCGAGGCCGTTTGGCCTGCGGTTGTGACGAAGATTTGTCTGCTGACCGTTTCAGTGGTCGCTTCCTTTTTTTTGGTCTGACTACTCTTGGTCTGCCCTTTTTCCCAGCCGTGGGGGAAGGGGGTGCGTCGTTGTCATCATTGGAGGAGCTACTAGTATCCGTTGACTTGCTCTGGAAGTTGAAGTTGATCTTCATACCATCGATGATTTCCGATAGCTCACTTCTTGGTCTCTTGCGATGTATTTGGGGGGTGTTGGTTGGTCTCGGGGCTGGTGCCGCTTCGAAGTCGAGACGGCGAGCGAGGTTATTGTTCTGGGTCTGGCTTTGAGGAGGGAGTCGACGTCCTCCAGGTCGGAAGAGGGCGGCGCTATTGTCTACGGTAGGGGCTACCAGTACTGATCCCGGGGTGGGAACACTGGCAGACGGCCGGGAGCCTGGGGTTGATTGAGAACGAGGTGGACTAGGCGTGACGTTCTGTCGCCGGGCGAGTTTGGCACGATCCCGGCTGGAAAGCAGGTCTGGGTCGATTGGGGTATCCCAGTTGTCTTCTTGCTCTCCATCCCCTCCTTCACCAGCGACATCACCATATGCCTTACCATCACCTGCATATGCCCAGGTCTCTTCCCAATCCGTGTCCTCACTCTCCCCAGCACTTTCCGCCACCCCCTCTTGCTCCTTCATGCTCATACCCGGCGGATCCTCCACCAAAACACCTACCGCCCTCGCGGCAAAGACCACCGTCAGCATCGTGGCTATCAACTTCGCGTTATACTCCCGAATCGCGTCCGCGCCATCTTCCTCTCTTGGTGCTTGACTTTCTTCTTCCTCGTTGGCAAACGCAGAAGGGATCATCGTGCCCGAAACGGACCTTGCAAGGCGCGCTATACGAGGCTTAGCGTACCGCGCCATCTCGCTGACGTCGTAGACAAGTCCACCTATGCCACCGACGTTTACCCATAGGGCGGGCTCGTTATTGACGATGCTGTTGTGGGCCCATTGGGCTAGGGTTCGGCCACCGGCGTAGACCAGCTTCGCCCATTGAGCGGCTCTGCGCTTGCGCTGGGTCCTTGTGGCGAGGGTTTTGATGCCGTGGTGTTTCAGCTCGCGGAGAGTAATCTGCCGAGTGGGAGGGCGGTAGATCTTCCCCTTGATTACATCGGCTTTGAGTTTGGATACTTCGCGAAAGATCTCGCGCAGCTGTTGACCTCGCCTAGTCTCGCTGTTGTAGAGTTCCGTGATATCTTGACCGTAGAGTTGGCGGAGGGTTCCGAGCGCTGAGGGGGTAAGCCATGAGCGATATGGAGGTCGGCCGTTGCGATCCTCGATATAACCAAGATCGTAAATGTAACCGTTAAGGACCAGGCTCCTAGGGCCGAGCTGATGATCTGGCTGGACTTCCGGGATTACGAAGCCGATCCGGAGGTGTCCAAACTTTTTCAGGACTTTGGATAACCTGTCCTTTACGGTCTCCTCTTCGGTGTCCTGAGAGGGGCGAATGATGCAAGAGTATGTTTCCTGGTCGAGGACATGCTTCTCGGTGAAGATGTCCGTGACATTGCGAGCGGCGTTGATGGCTAGGCGTCTGGCGCCGCCGGGGTGGTCTTCCACATACTCTGTGGTCTCGTTAACTCCCATTCTTTTGAGAAGTGAACATGCGGAAGGATGGAAACACTAACCAGAAATATCATAGACATTGTTTCGGATGCGAATATACATCCCTACTTCCTTGAAAATATGCCGTCCAAGCTCCCTTTCCGTAAAAACATCCAGTGTCCGTCTCGGCGGGGGTTCCGTAATGTAGTCCTTGAGAACTGCGCACCGCCACGGCCACAGCAGGTTCCTGAGATCCATGGGGTTCTTCTTGTACTTATGGCAGAACACGGTCAAGTCCTGGCAGGTTGCAATGTTGTTGCGGACGAAAACCTTCAAAAAGCCATCTTGTTCCTCTGGGATGCCTGGTGGAGGGAAAAAAAGGTGGTGGAGGTTAGTGATTCTGCTGGAAGCGGGTGTTGAAGTGACTGGTGACACCTGAAGTGACTTACTACTAAGATCAAAAACATCCGTCCCAATATACGCCCACCTTGGCCCCCCATCCCGTCCATGAAACTCTCTCACCTCTTCCAGCGTTCTCTCCTGCAGGACCTTACCGCGAAACAGCGTATGAGCATTTGACTGGAGATATTTCTTGATCGTGTTATCGATGACCACCCAGCCATTGAGAGACCGTTGGGCAACGTGTGACTTGACTGTGCTTTTTTTGTGGGGGTGGTGGTAGCAGAAAAGGCCCTGAGCGGTTGATTTCCACTGTTCAACTACATGAGCTTTTCGTTAGCACCGCTGGATCCGTCTCTCACACATCAGTAATACCTATGTCTGCGATTTTCTCACTTCCGCTTACTGTCACTCGTAGTGTGTCATTTCCAGAAGTAACATGATAAACAAAGGGGAACGCAAAGCGAATGAAAAAGGAAACACAAAAAAAAACGGATAATACTCACCACCACCACCAAGATCATAGATATGTTCCTCCCCGCGCCACCTCACCAACACCCACCTCGGCCCAGTCGTCTCTTTTAGAGGTCGCCAATGATCAGCAACCTCCCCCCTACTCCAATGCTTTTTTGTCCTCCACACATCCTTCACGTCTGCCAAAGCCTCGTCACCATTATATGTATGGAACCATTTGGTGCCGCCTTCGGCAGGCCACTCGAAGTACAGTTGTCCCAACTTCTCCCAGGTTTCGTCAGAGTCGTGGAAGTTGATGTGGGCTAGCAAAAGTTGAAAGGCTTCAGATTTGGTGAGAAGGCCAGACTTGTAAAACTCGTCCAGAACGAAGCGGTGGCGGTTGTTAAGTTGCAGCTGGGAGAAGTTGAGGTTGTCGGGGAGGGACTGGTTAGATCGGATAGGCGAATTTTGCTGTGGGGGAGAGAGCGAAGAGAGGCTTGCGTACTCTATGTCCATAGCATCAGGATCAGTGTCATCCTCTTCTTCCTCCTCCTCCTCCCCGTCGCTATCATTGACATCGTGGGTTACGGATCGCCAGGCTTTTTGGGATCTGCCTGCGCGGAGGGGACCGCGACGGCGGATAAGACCGGCACCGGGATTACCGCCTCCTCGGCCACCACCATCACCGCCTCGTCTACCGCGGAAACCACGGCCACGAGGTTTGGAGATACCGCGGGTGGGACCCCGGCTCTTCATGGCTTTCGAGACACCGCTCAGTTTCCCAATGTCCAAAACCATCTTTAGACGACTGGTAATACCCTGACCCTGATTCTGTTCCTGACCGCCCATCTCAATGTCACTATCATTATCACTGTCGCCGTCACTGTCGTCGTCACTGTCGTAGTCACTGTCATGATCACTATCACTCATATCATCATCACGATCACTGGCATCAGATGCCCACGAACTGACAGGCGACGACGGCGCGCTCCCTAGGAACGCACGATGTGCATTCCTATTCCTCCGCTTCTCTTCCGCTTCCGACACTTCCACCACGTCGCCGACCTGATTCGAGCCTCCCTTTTCCAAGCCCATGACCCAGTCCGGAAAGGTAAAGTTGAAGGGCAGCCAGCCCTCAGTTTCAAGGCCGCGGAGATCCGCCTCGTGGTCGAGTGCAGCAAGGAGCTCATGTGCCAACTGCCTAATGGCATCCAGCAGCCCTATGGGAGTCGGGGTGATGGTCCAGCACCTGCGCCCATCGCGAAGGGCTGTGGAAATGACATAGACGCGGGCGTCGTAGGCAGTGTGAGACGCGTATTTTTGGCCGTACAGATTCAACGTGGTCCAGCTCTTGCCCGCGTCGTCGCCATATACATGGCGATCGGGAAATCTCCACCTCGTTCCCTTGACAAGAGCGTTGATGCTCGGATGCCAAAGGTTGGGCGCTTCAGTCTGGAAATTCTTTTGCTTTTTTTTGAACCTGACCGCTTTCCTTCGCCAGGGAATAGCCGCTCTCATGAGGTGGAGCAGAATGCGGTAGACGAAGCCCAGGGACTTGGCCGGGCCGGCGCGTTGCTCCCATTCCTCGATCCTCGTCTGAAGCGTGTTGATCATGGCCGTGCAAGTCTTCTCGTCGTGACAGGAGGCGGCATCGCTGAACACTTCGACGCAGTTGCGGCATCCCGCGAGGGAGTAAGGGGTGCGTTGCCAGTAGGCATAGGCTTGGGCGAAATGGTCATTTTGTCCTGAAATACCGCGCCAGCGTTTCCATGCTTTCTTGCGGAGTTGGAGGTGGTCGACACAATCTTGGTATCTAGCGGCTATTTCAGGATATGCGTCAAAGTTTTGGGGGTTGTTGGGGTTCGGGATCACGGAGAAGACGCGGGTGATCTCCTGCTGGTCCAGTACGGGGGTCCTAAAGGGGCGGGGTGGCCGTAGGGCGCTTCGGCCTTTGGTTCCTACCAACACGTCCCAAAAATCTTGGAGTTGGAGGGATGCTGCGAAGAAGGCGGGAATGGGATACCTGTCGAAGGATATGGGCTGACCTGGGGGCCAGTGAATATGGTTGTCGATGGTATGGTTACTTGAGCTATATATCCAAGTGGTGTCTTCAAATGTGTATAGAGCCAGCCCATACTGCCGCAAACCGGGCAGTGTAGACGGAACTAGATCATTTTCTGTGCCTTCTGGGGTGTAGCGAAATGTACCACCAAAGAGATTATTCTCGATTGAATAGCCCAGCTCAGCCACCCACTCGTTGTTGTAGACCTAGGACCATTGTCAGGCAACGTAGCGGGAAGGAAGAGGCGGTATCACTTACTGGTTCGTACGTATCAGGAGCGTCACCTTCTTTAAGCAATGCGGCAAAGTTAAGCGCATGCTATATCTCGGAGCATGTGGTCAGTAAGAGACAGGCTCTGTGGGAGGAGGAAAAAGGACCAACGTACCGCCAATTCGTGTATCATCTGGACAAACGTTAGCATACTCATCCAAGCAAAAGCAATGTGGCGTCAGATAATACATACCGTAACGGCAAACTGCAGACGAGCAATGTGTTTTTCGCCGTATCGAAGACATTCCGCCGGGTTGTTGGTACCGTTGTTGTCTTGCAGCAAAGTCCTCAAAATCCGAGCATTCATGCGAATGACGACAAATTGTTCGTTTGTCCTCTTGTCCTTCGCAAGCATTGTATAGGCGGACGTGAACTTGTCCGCCCTCGAATTTGCGAAGCCAAATGCATTAGGATCGTCGCCGTCAAAGAAGGACCAAACAATGCGGTCGGCGAGGTCAGTGGTCTCGTTGTAAAGCCGTATCCGTGCGGCCTGGGTCAAGGGGGCATCTGGGTCACCGTGAGCTTGAAAGCGCTGGGCCTCGACGCCCGTCCGTCTGTTGTATCTTTGGTACTCGGTTCCCGTAATGGGGTCCCAGTCTTTTAACAAGAGGGCGTGTAGCCACTTGGTACACTGGGCCTCGGCAAAGATTTTGTTTGCCATCTCTACGCAGATGCCCAGCTCGGCGAAGACGTCGGCATTGTCGATGGACCAATGGGGAGCGGTGAGAGACGTGTCGGTAATGTCGACGGGGGACTTGAGGTCGAACCAGCGGTCCTTTTGGAAGATTGGGTGCCACATTTGGGGGTTGACAGTGATGGAGGCTTCGCTGACGGGGGGGAGGCTCTGGTGAAGAGAGGCGAGTTGCCAGGCCTTGAAGCCATCGTTGATCTCTTGCTGGAAGCGCTCGGCCAAAAACATGGTATCCAACTGGGGCGGCGACGGGATGGGCATAGGATCTTGACGTGCAGCTTCTTCATTGCTCATGTCCATGCCCAAAGCGGGCAAGGAGGGATACTGGGTCTCGAGACCCGACTGGCCAAAGTTTATAAAGTAAGGGTTCATCCAGCCGCCATAGCGCCGAAGCTCTTCAGTATGTGGATATTCGGGGAGAGAGTCCTCGGTATCCGGCCCGATCTCGCCAATGGAAGCGTATGATGCGCGGCCCATGATGTTGATGTTGTCGTGCTTGCTGTTGTCGTTGTTGTTGTGGTTGTTGAACGTTGTCGAGGAAGCATGATGGACAAGACGTGTCGAGTAGACATGTGGAAGTCATGGGCATTTTGGGATCGTGGTAGCTCAGTGGTAACTCGGGCACAAGATCAACAAAGGGGACAAAGGGGGCGAGCCGCAAACGTCAATAGCAATTATGTAGCTTGAAAGCTCGAGTCGAGACACAATGAGCCGAGCTTTCTTTGAGACAGCGAAGGGTGAGTGTGCGAGATGATGTCTCGAAGCATCTTGCCTCATGGGACAAGTTGAGAATGAACATGGTATTGTCATGGTGAAATAAATCATGAGCTATGGCATCGATACGTTGTCTTGTCCTCTCGAAAGCGTATTCGATAAGAGATATCATGAGTTGAGGACTCGGTCGTCGAGTGTCCAAGGGTAGATGAGCAGAGAACAAAGAAAATGACATGCTCGCGGCTGAGCTACAGCTTCTGCAAAGGAGAAGAAGAACATCAAAGGAGGATCGAAAAGAACAATGAAAGAAGCTTGAACAGGTATGGCCTCGGTAGCTCATAACTACCTCCAGGCCTGCCCATGAATGAGTCTTGTTGGCTGTACTTGGTCGTGACGGATTTGAGCGACGAAGACAAAATGGGATGTGAGAGATGTCCAAATTAGGCTGACGATACTCTTATCGATAAGGCGCCTTGTCAATCGACCGGACATCAACTTGTACCAGGACAAAGAAAAAGAAAACGAAAAAAAAAAAACCAAGACGAGGTGAGTCCAATGATGACCCGGGAAAAATGCTTGATGTTGCCTGCTCTGGTGACTTGAAGTTGTCGGGTTTCCTCCCTCACTCAGCTCATTAGTACCTAGGTACTTCCTTCTCAAATGCAAAATTTTCACGGGGAGATGCCCCTTCCGCACGAAATACCAGACAGGAATGAACCCAAGGAAGGCACATTCGAGCAGAACTGCAGCTTGCAATCTCTCTCTTTCAAGAAGTGGAACTGAAGACATAAAATGAAGGACCTGTATTGGGAAGGGACTGGGCAGAAGAGAAACGCAAAACTGAACACTCTGAAAAAGGAAACCGCGCATGCGACCAGTCTCAATGTAAAACTCATTGCTCCTGCCGTAGTCACGCCGTAGTCGAACCCCCGAGGCCCTCATTTTTTTGATTCAGTCGACCAGAACAACTAAGTAAACGAGGAACTTGAATCGCGCCGAGTTCGCAGCGATTGACATGCCACCATGGTGTTTGTTGTTGGCTGTCCACGCAGTTGGCGCCATGACGCCCAGGCGCCGCAAGTGACATAAGATGGACAGGGGAAAAGTGACGTTAAAGAAAGGGCCAAGAGGTCCAAGACATTCTAAGACAAGCTTTATGTTCGCCCAACCTTGTTGTTGAGTGTGCATACACTACGCGGGTGACGCCAAGCGGCCAAGGTTGATGGTGTTGATAATTCGCCGAGGAGAAGGGCGGGAGTCATGATGAATTTGGGGGTTGGACCGTTCATTAGTGCGGGTACTTGGGTACCTCTAGTTGCTTGGTGCAGAAGTGGCTCCACCACATGTGCTGCAATGCGCTTCCCTTATTGGTTGTAAAAGGGGTAAGCAGTTCTTGTCGTCGTTTGCGTCAATGCTTTTTGCTGCTTCCTAAATGCTTATGCCAGAAGGGGTCCCGTCTGTGACAGACTTTCATAGGTATCCCAAGACAGATCGTTTGCTTGACCTGTAGTCAGTCTTGGCAAATGAATCACAAGTGAGGCGTTATCAAGAGCCGTTTCTAGTCATTCCGACCATCGAGGTATCGATTACTCGGTAAAATATCGTTCTCTGTTGTTGTGTCCAGCTCAACCTCGCCTTCAACTACCCAACTTCTAGCATAAGCATTTAACGTTACCATAAGCGTTCAACAAAAGACTTGCCCAGAACCTCGCCCCCACCCCCCGCCGCGCCAACACCCCGCCACATGGACCCTATAATACTCCACTGCTTCCGCTGAACCCCCCGGGGAAGTCCCTGAGGTCGGACTCTGGGGCGGACTCACTCACACTGGCAGTGCACGAGCCTTGGAGCCTCTTTTTTGCTGTCTCCGCAAAATGGATGTGACGACAACTGCGACTTGGGTATGTTGTACAACCTCTTCTCCTTTCTTTTTTT